TTAGATGTGGCAGTCTCAGTCTGAAGTTTATGGATTTTAATCGCTATATATTACAAGGTAAAATAAAAATACAATATAAGAATGAAATATAATCAAAAACTTTAGTTTTATGCAAATGTTCTCATCTAAATGCAGGTTTAAATCCCTTCTGCTATTTGAAAAAAATGTGTTGTCACATAAGGACAAGACTAAGCTATTTAGGGGTTATAAAAAGAAATTAGACAAGTGAAGTAAATATTTTTTTACACGAAAGAGCATTAAACAAACTGTGAGCATGGTGGTGGTAGTATCATGCTGGGTATAGTATCAATGATTAATGATTCAATTGAATTGATGCAAAATTAAAACATAGAGCTACATCGTCATCTTTAAGATACGCCTTGATTTTAAAATTCACTGTTATGATTCTCATTATAAGGAGAACACTCTCCTTGTATTTAAATGACCAAATCTTATATTTTTGTTAGACTGGCAGATATGAGGTTTAATGGATCACAGATTTGTAAACTAAACTGAATAGAAATTGTATTGTTGCAGACTTTACTAACGTTGAGTTTGTGGATTTAAATGTGCTCCATAATTGTGCAAAAATAGAGTGGTTATATATCATCCAGAAGGATGCCAGGGCTTTGTTGAGGGCTCCAACAGTTGTGGACTTAAGGTACATCAATCCAAATATTAGTAGAGATATATGTAATTGAGCCTGAATTAGAGAAAGGTATCTATAATACACTGCTAAAACCAAAAAAAGGAACACATCTCAGATCTGAACAAATGGCATATTCTCACTCGATAATTTGAAAACAAAATTACACAAAAATCACTAATGGAAATAAAAGTTATTAACTAATGCAGGCGTGTTTTTGGAGATGAACACAAAATTAAAGTAGAAAAACACACCACAGGTTCATCCATCTTTGATATAATGTCCTTATAATAGATCAAAATGAGGCTCAGTATAGTGTGTGGCCTCCATGTGCCTGTATGACCTCCCTACAACGCCTGGGTATGAGGTGGTGGATGGTGTCATGAGGGACAGCATCTTCTTCCAGACCTGAACTAAAGCTTCCCCTAACTCCTGGACAGTCTATAGTGTAATGTGATGTTGGTGGATGGATAGAGACATGATGTCCCTGATGTGCTAATCAGATTCAGGTCTGGGGAGCGGCTAGTGTATAGCTTCAATGCTTTCATCTTGCAGAACGTGCTGACATATTCCAGTCCCATGCAGTCTAGCATTGTCCTGCATAAAGAGGAACCCTGGGCCAACCACACCACAAGAGGTCTGAGGATTTCATTTTGGTACCTAATGGCAGTCATGCTACCTCTGGCGAGCACATGGAGAGTTGTGCGGTCCTCCAAAGGAATGACACCCCACCCCATTACTGACCCTCTGCCAAACAGGTCATGCTGAGGGATGTTACAGGCAGCAGAACGATCTCCATGGTGTCTCCAGACTCTGGGTGTGTTTGATTTCAGAGGCTGCATCCTCCAAGGTCCCGGTCTATCTGGACTGGATCCTTCGAGGTCCGTGAAAATAAGGAGGCCGGAAGAGTTTTGGCTATGGATTCAAAAGGTCCAGCTTTCACCGCACGTTCGCTTTGTCACCTAGCAACCATGAATGTTGACACAAAAAGCTGGAAAACAATGGATACAGAACCTTTCACTGTTGTTTTATAATTGTTTTATATTTATTGTAAAGTGAACAAAAACTACACTCATGAGAATACAGAGTGGAATAAAGGTGACAACCACCAGGAGCATGAACAAATGAAAGCAAATATAAAAGGGGTAGAAAGAGATGAGTAAATCTAAATAATATATGTATAAAAATATATCTGCAAAATATCTTAAATGCAAATATTACCCGTCACATAATGACTCAATAACCATTTAAAAAAACTATTAATTTCAGATGGAACTATTCACATACTTGTATTATATTAAACTGCACTTCCAATATTCACCACTGTTCGGCGCCAAGAACATTTTCCTCTGAGCATGTCCAGCCAGCTTGCTTGAACTCACAATGAATCATGGGATATCCAAGGCAACATAGAATACACAGAGTCCTTCAAAACAGGCAAAAAGAAGAATGCATTTGTCGGCCACATAATAGGGAGTCTTGCAATCCAAACAGGCCTCTGCGCTGCACTATGAGGTAATCGGCCTATGAAGCTGGCCTTCAGAGGACGCAGCCCATGAAATTGAACTCAGCATCTGTCACTTCTGTAACATGTGCTCAGTGTGAATTTGGTTTAATCTGTGAAGAGCACAGGGTGCTAGTGACGAATTGCGAATCCTGATGTTGCCAAGCGTCCTGCACAGTGTTGGGCTGTGAGCACAACCTCCATCTGTGGACATCGGGCCCTCATACCATCCTCACGGAGTCGGTTTCTAACCAATTGTACAGTGACATCCGAATATGTGGCCTGCTGGAGATCATGTTGGGGAGCTCTGGCAGTGCCCCTCCTGTTCCTCTTTGCACAAGCATGGGAGTAGCAGTCCTGCTGTTGGGTTGTTTCCACCTAACAGACGCAGGAAACCTTCTAGCGACAGTTTGCATTAATGTGGCATCCTGGATGAGCTGCACTACCTGAGCCATAGATACAGAAAAGATGTCTGTGGTTGCCACCTGCAGAACCACTCCATTAATGAGTGTGTCTTGCTAATTGCCCATAATTTCCTCCTGTTGTCTCTTCCATTTGCACAACAACATGAGAAATTGATGGTCAATCAGTGTTGCTTCATACATGGACAGTTTGATTTAAAAGAAGTTAGATTTAATTGAAGTAATATTGTTTTGTTGATGTGTTCCCTTTGTTTTTCTGAACATTGCATAAAATGTAAAATCTTTGAATTCATATCTTGGATTACCAGTCAATGCATTCAAATAATGCCTAAATAAATCCCTGAAAGCCTAAATATGGTACTCCTGCACATGATGAGTGTATGTAAACTGCTGCGCTTCACTGTAAAAACAGCAAGCCCTCATGTTCAGAGTTCTGCTTCAAAGAGGTGAGTAAAAAAGCACTGCCAAAACATCCAGAGTGCCCATATTCGTCGGGTTTGTCAGTCACGCAGCCGCTGTCTCCGGGGGATCTGTGACAAGAACTCCACATCATCATCTGAGGTAGAGGGGTGAGTGAGTATGATCCGGGGAATCTGCAGCATGAAAGAGAAAACGATTGAAGAAATAAAGAGCAGGTTATCAGATGTGATGAATTTAAATGTTAATTTTTACCCTTTTTAGGGGGAATTTTTTTTTTTTTTTTTTTTTTTTTTTTTTACAGTGTCCTGTCTGGCAAGGTGGCAATAAGAATAATTGTCTTGATGCCAAAAGGAGCCCAACAGATTTTACTTTCACAAGTGTAGCGGTATCGCAATTGCCATACCGCTCCACTTGTTTCATGTATATAAATTGCTTTATTATAATTATGCAGGGAGTTTTACAGTTCATATGGACACTGCAATGTAAGTAGAGCAGAAAAACAGAAGAAGAAGAAGGAAAAAGAAAAAGAAAAAAACAGGACAAAAGATGAAAGAAAGAGGAGATAGGAAGGAGACAATGACAAAACATTTTCAGTCTGCTTCAACACCTGTAATGAGATGGAGAAAAAAAAAAAAAAAAAGAAAAAAGAACAGCACAACCAAAAAACATGGTACGAGATATACAATAAAGCAAACACCTTGAAACTATCACTAAAGTAATATTATTAAGTCTGACATGTACTCTGTGTTACCTGAAGATATGAATGTGGGGTTTCTGTTTGGAAGTGAATCTCTAAGTACCTGAAGCCTAGCACCTGTAGTTGTTTGTGAGGGTGAACTTGTGCATGTAAAGTTTTAACCATAGAAAAAAATGCTCAATAGTGGTTGTGGAGAGCCGGAGAGGCACACCCCCCAGAGCACTGAGTCCAGCGCCGGGAGACCCAAAGCCCCAGGCGCCCAAGGGGACCCCAGAAGCGAAGGCACCAAGGCGGGGCCAGCCCCGGAAATCAGACCCCACCAAGGCAGGAGGAGAGACAGCCACGAGGAAGCCCTTTAGGGGGAAATTTAAGGTTATGTGCTACTTAGCACCTTGCAAAATTATTTATACCCCTTGAACTTTTCCAAATTATATTAGATGTGAAAACAATTAAAGATATTGGCAGAACACCATTTGTAGTGAAGAACTAAACCTCTTCATGGTGGAGGCAGAATAATACAAGGGGAATGTCTTGTTTTTCTTTCTGAGTATGGGTACCAAAGCTAGTCGTTAGTTGCAAAGTAAATATGAGGCTGTCCGCAGAGGAAACATTTGAGATGTTAGAAAATGAGGGACTGGAGCTAAGATGATTCTTGCTGTAAGGGAATGTCTCGAAAGCCCAAACTGTAAGGAGTTAGATTGAGGTGTAATCATTTGTTGGGATGCCCCAGTAAAAATATGTAACAGCACTTTAAAATTCCTGCTCACACAGACTCTCAATTCAGTCTGGCTTGGTTTATGCTATTTTTCAAAGAATTATTGACAAAAATGTCAGTATTCAATATTTGCAAAACTGGCTTTAAAAGACTTGAAGCTATAAATGTTTCACTGGACCTTAATACCCTTGCATGCCAGACTTTTCCACCAGCTTCACAATGATGCTTTTTATGTTAAGTGTTTCAACATCAGAAGTGTTTGTGAACTTGAAATGAGACAAAATATGGGGGGGGGGGGGGGGAATCAAAGAGTATAAATACTGGCAGCATCGCTGCGGTTTGAAAATGGCAATGAATAAATCTCCCTACCATCATTGTGTGATTCATCTCTTTAAGAGTGTCTTTCTTGAACTCCTCTGCTTCGATCTCAGACACGGTTTTGCTCAGATCGCTGTCATCAAGCTAAAACATAGAAAATTTGTCAATATCAACAAAACGAGAGAAAAAACTGTACAAGAGTAGACAATGTGTGCTGTTTTTTAGCTGTCTGGATTGATGGCTGTAAAACAATGTCAAATTTTCTATTATTTACTATTCTAATGCCAGGATGTGAATAAAAAAACACCCACATTGTTGTAACCATTGCAGACAACAGCTTCAATCTTCTTGGGCAAACAGCTTTCTGCCTCTTCCAGTTCTGAGGAAGGCATCCTCTCTCTGAGCACCTTCAACTTGATGCAGCTCCCAGCATTTCTGAGGGCAGCGACTGCTTCATGGTGGGCTGCCCCCTGCATGCACAGACCGTTGACCTGAGAGGGCACAGGTCGGGTTATAAATCTTAGTGGCAAGAAGAGGGAGCAAGAGTGTGTCTCTGGGGAAATGACTGGAAATTACATGTTTGGGGGTTTATTTTTTCTCTCAGTCCACACTGAGAGGCTTCTGTTGGTCTATGATGCCCCCCACTGGTTAGAAGCGATAAATCTAAGCTTCATAACACTGCAGTATATTTATGTAATACTTTCCTAAGGAATCAAACTTGGCCAAAGAAAAAAAAAACATAAAAACAACCAAAACAAAAAGCAAACATTCACTTTCCTACCTCAAGCACTCTATCTCCAACATGGATCCCTGCCTTTTCAGATGGTCCTCCTTGAGCTACCCTTGAAATAAAAATACCCTGAGAGGGAAAAAAAAGTTAAGATTATAAAGCAATACTTAAAGTTTTCTCAGTTGGTTTATACAGTTGAGACAACTATAGGATTTTAGAGGTGCCTGCTTCAAATCATCCTCATTCAGAAAGCCAAAAAGCTGCCGAGTAAAAGACTGATGGGCTATGTTGCAAGACTGGGCAACTCTGCTCTCCTACTCCAGCACTCACCTCGTCGTGATCTTTGTAAGGCAGAGATCCTTTTCCGCCAGCAATGCTTATCCCCAAACGACCACTTTGGCCCGATACTTTGATCTGCAACTGATAAAAAGCTTTCATCACAAGTAAAGCAAAGATTATGTGTAGTTCCCCCCTGATAGGAGCAGCTCAGTATAGATAACAGCAGTTGAAAATGGATTATGAATATGTGAAGACACTCCTGAATTAGTCATAGCAAAGCCAGGGGGTTATTTTGACATTTAGGTAACAGGCAGTGTGAATTTACTTTTAATGGCACTTGAGAGGCAGATTCTGCAGGAAGACTGACTGGGGAAGAGCTCAGGAAGCTTGTGACTGATGGTGTCCTTATCTTGCAGACAGGGTCTCCATGGAGACCGGACCCTGCATTAAGAGCTGTGGGTTGTGAGGAATTCTTGCCCTCTTGTGTTTCATCTATCTGATGGCGAAACAGACGTGGTGGAGCTTCTCTCGTAGAAAAACAACCTGTACAGCTCTGTTGGTATAAGAGAAATTAGTGCTCTCACTGTCCTCCAGTGAAATAAAATAGAATCAATCTACAGTACTAGGTTATATATATAGTGCTTCTGATAAACAATTCTTCCCTCTGAAGATCTTTCAAAGTTTGTTTTATGTTGCCTGTTTTATTTCTGGTTGTTTGAATAATTTTTTTCTGTTGATAAATAAAAATACATTTAACAGAAATCATCCATCCATTTGTTTTCATACCCCTTTATTACAATCCCACTAAATAAAATAAGGCTTTATTGCCTTCAGAAGTGGTTTTATCAGCGACTAAACGCATTAAACGCTCATGTAAAACCTTAAGAGGTTCTGTTGGCAAGAATAGAAGATGTCCTTATTATGACACAATATCCTTCTAAAAGGAATCAAATGAAATATATTTACTGCAGAACAGTTTATATAGTGAATTCCTCTCAACAAAAATTGATTTGGATAAAGCTGAATTTATTATCAGTTTATGATGAGAGTTTTAAATATTCACTTTCCATGTGAATGCAGTGCATACATTTATTTTGAAACTTTCAGTGTCGGGTTTCATGTAGAAATGTTCTAATGTTTAAATGTTTACATTTAGAATAGTTGTTAATAAATGTAAATAGAGCTATAAACATTGATTATAAAACTAAAATTGGTGTAAATTACCATTTTGTGCCCATTCCATAGTTTAAACATTTGAATTGAATATTTTTTTTTCATTATTTTTTAAATTTAGATAAGTTTTCTTCTTAAGTCATGCACGTAATTTTAAGGAAGGGACAGGGGGGAAGTGTCCCCTGCACTTTTTCAAATGTCCGTTTTGGTCCCATGCACCTTTTACTATCCAAAAAACAATTTTATGCTAAAGTACACCGACTATCATTATGCACTAGAACCAAGTGGAAAAACCGCAGCTCAAGCTGAAGCCCACTTCCCTGAGCTTAAACCGCCCACAAGCTCCTGATTGGCCCCCCTTCTTTTCCTGTGTGATTGGCTGTTACTCCTGAGAAGCTCACTTTACAAACATCTTATGCGCCACTGAATCAGGTCTGTGATTGGATGGTCAAACTCGCTGGAGTTAGTTACATTATAAAAAACTTGAAAATTTCATCCATGATCATAATGCATATTTATTTTAAAACCTATATGTTGTGCTTTATGGGGCTAAGGGGAGAAGTCCATGTAGTTTTTTCCAACAAGCCATGTAGGGGACAAAATTAAAGGAAAAGATACAGCCAGAGCTTCTGTTAAATGGCTCAGATCAAAGTATAATGAAGTGAGTTATCAATGGCAAACATTTAAAGGAAGTAAATACTTTTGAGCGGTGCTGTATCAAATAACTGGATGATCTCAGCTGTGCATTTAGAAAGTATTAAGTCACAGCTTAAAGCTAGCTGGATCAAGAACAACTTTTTATAGTGGGGATGGTATCAGGAAATCAGATACAACCCATTTTAGTCTATTGAAAGACCTTTAGAAATGCTGCAGCAGCTAAAATTAAAGAATAAAAGCAGGTCTGCTTCTCAAGCTAAAACAAAAAAAGGAGAATCTGTGGAGAGCATGGAAGAGTTCAACTAAAACAGACCTCTTCTGCTGGTTCAGCTCTTTCTTTGCTCCTCTGTAGGTCAGAGCAGCAAACACAAGCATTATTCTTGACAGCAAACATCTGAGGTCCCCAGTCTTTGGTCCCAGTCCAGCTGAAGTCTGAGACGGCCCAGCTCTGGCAGCCGGTCCCGGGGGGCGGATTACTGTGACGGTTCCTACTCTCCTATAGATAATCAGAAGACATCAGCTGATGCTAAAAAAAAATAAAAAAAAGTCATTTCAGGAAGAAGGACCTAAGCAATGACTGGAGGGATAAAAAAAAAAAAGTCCCTGATCCTGACTGTAAGTGCTCAACGTCAAGCTGTTAAGGAATGAAAACAAAAAGTGAACGCTGCAGTATTAAAATCCTGCTCTTATTCACAGAGAATGCATACTTACATACAGTAACAGATTCAAAGAGCAATCTTACATTTTTTCCAACAACATAGGCTTGATTGAACCTGAAATGTGAAAAGATTACATAGAAAAAGGCATGCCACTGCAGCATAAAACGCAGCACATGCAGGGTGGAGGTGCTCTACATCATGCTCAGCTGGTTGGAAACAACAGGGAAAACAAAAGGATCTGGGAGCTTATTTATTATGTCAAAATCATGTTTCATTTAAATCTACCCCAGCAGCCAATTTTCTTTGGATGAGCATCATTTTGAACCCAACGCACCTTTTCTTTTGCCACACTCTGCTAATCACAGATCACCTCGAGGCAAAATGCAGGAAGGAATAAGAAACATGTGGGTTTAGTGTTGCACTCACTTTTATTGATCAGTGGTTAAAAAGGTCAGCAAATCTCAAGGTTTACAGCCAGTCTGAGATCTTTACTGTGCAGCTTTATCGGAGAATAATAGCACACAAAAAAAAGAACACTTGAACCATTTGCTCTGGTCCACTTTCTGCAAATCGATCTAACAGCAAATTAACACAGTTTATCAGGTACCATTATAAAACAAAAGTGGAGTATCAATGAGAAGTGCATCTGAGAGGAACAATGTCAATTTTAGAGTAATCATCATAAAAAACCCTCAATCCCCCCAAAGCTCTGATAGTTGATCTACACAGTTCTCTTTAAAATAAAGCAACCCTTAAAAAGATAAAAATATGTCCGTTTGGCATCTATAAGGAAAAGTAATGCAAAGCAGTAAGGTACAGCGTTATTGAATAGAACAGGATCCTGACAGAGTAATCACAATGCAAATTGCAATGTAAATTTGATGTGCAGTAATTGAATGCAGAGTTGAATATTCTAAAAAAAAGATTCCCCAGACCGAGGAAATAAAAAAAGACATTGCTGACTGTTTTGTTCATTACCTTGATTTTAGAAAAATAGAGATCCATGTACCAAGTTAAAGTGAAGCTTAAACCGATTAAGAAGAGACTTGCTATACATTTTTATTTACATCTGAGCTGCCAAAAAGTATAAAAGTATCAATATTCACAATAGATTTACAATAATCTTTAAATCAGTAGGTTCGAAAACCCGGCTCCTATTCTCTGTCCCAAAATGTAGAAAGACCCAGTGTTTTAAAAAATAAAATAAAACAAACACAATACATTTAATAGGTTTGTAGTGCAACTACCTAATGAATTCTTAAAGATCACTTTTTTAAAAAGTAATGCATTTTTAAAATATACAGTCAAAAAAAGGAGCATCTCTGTGCAGGTTTTTGCTGCGGGTGTTTGTTAAAAAGAGGAAGGCACGGCGGCCCTGGTAGACAGTTTCATTTTTTTCCCCACACAGGACTGGAGATGGAGCCAGCTTTCAGGTTGTATGACCAGACGACAGGTAGGCCAAACTGGGATTTGTAGGTAAAAAGAAAAAAAAAAAAAGGCAACAACAACACAGGACTGCAGGGTTGCGCAGGGCGATATGGCAGGACACAGAAGGAGAAAAAAAAAAAACACTTCTGAGGTAAAGGTCAGACGGACGTAGTCACTCCATCTGCAGCGTTATTGACCTCATTTTTGTTGGAGTCCAGGGCGTTGCGGACGCTCTCTGCGGTTTTCTTCATGGTTTTTAGCTCGCCGGGGTGAGGCGTGGCTCTCCGTAGTAGTGTTCCCTGTGAGAGAGATGCACATCAACAGTTGAACATATACCATAAAAAAGTCCTGATACTGTGGTGTTTAGGCGGGATGAGTGAGCTGTGATGCTTACAATTAGGGGATATCGGGTGCTTTAAGGTAAATTAGGGGCTGCATAAATATAACCGTGATACAAAACTCTAAAACAAGCGGTCATGGCTTCTGCTCTTTTCAGAGCAGAAGTTCTCCCTCAGTTAAGCAAACAAGAACTTGGCAGATAGACGTTTGAATACCTTCCCATATTTCAACACACTCCTGAGATTGTGGAGAATTAATGTGAATCACAGTGATACCAAGAAGTAGAGCTGCTTGGTTACATCAGGTAATGCACATGAAAAACGGGTTTTTAATGGAAATCAGCTGCAAAAGCAATGAGGATGCCTCTCTGTGTCTGTTGGCAGGGTTCGGTCGGAGAGTTTTATATTTACAACTCTGCAGATCTGCAAGTCTTTATTTATATTACCATTTAATGATTCACAATGAATTACACTCCACTAAACAACATCAATCTGGTTTTATGTTTAGCCTTTGAGTCTTTTTGTGAAGGAAATTAAGAGCATAATCTCCTGCTTAAGGTTTTTTAAAACAATTTTATGAATTTTTCATGCATCAAGAGCTAACCAAAATGAAAATACAGGTGCTGGTCATAAAATTAGAATATCATGAAAAAGTAGATTGATTTCAGTAATTCCATTTAAAAAGTGAAACTTGTATATTATATTCATACATTACATACAAACTCATATATTTCAGATGTTTATTTTGTTTAATTTTGATGATTACAAATGACAACAAATGAAAATCTCAAATTCATCATATCAGAAAATTAGAATATTGTGAAAAGGTTCTAAATTGATGGCCCCTGGTGCCACACTCTAATCAGCTAATTAACTCAAACCACCTGCAAAAGCCTTTAAATGGTCTTTCAGTCTAGTTCTATAGGCTACACAATCATGGGGAAGACTGCTGACTTGACAGTTGTCCAAAAGACGACCATCGACACCTTGCACAAGGAGGGCAAGACACAAAAGGTCATCGCTAAAGAGGCTGGCTGTTCACAGAGCTCAGTGTCCAAGCACATTAATAGAGAGGCGAAGGGAAGGAAAAGATGTGGTCGAAAAAAGTGTACAAGCAAGAGAGATAACCGCACCCTGGAGAGGATTGTGAAACAAAACCCCTTCAAAAATGTGGGGGAGATTCACAAAGAGTGGACTGCAGCTGGAGTGAGTGCTTCAAGAACCACCACACACAGACGTATGAAAGACATGGGTTTCTGCTGTCGCATTCCTTGTGTCAAGCCACTCTTGAACCACAGACAGCGTCAGAAGCGTCTAAAGAGAAACAGGACTGGACTGCTGGTGAGTGGTCCAAAGTCATGTTCTCTGATGAAAGTAAATTTTGCATTTCCTTTGGAAATCAAGGTCCCAGAGTCTGGAGGAAAAGAAGAGAGGCACTTCATCCACGTTGCTTGAAGTCCAGTGTAAAGTTTCCACAGTCAGTGATGGTTTGGGGTGCCATGTCATCTGCTGGTGTTGGTCCATTGTGTTTTCTGAGGTCCAGGGTCAACGCAGCCACATACCAGGAAGTTTTAGAGCACTTCATGCTTCCTGCAGCTGACCAACTTTTTGGAGATGCAGATTTCATTTTCCAACAGGACTTGGCACCTGCACACAGTGCCAAAGCTACCAGTACCTGGTTGAAGGACCATGGTATCCCTGTTCTTAATTGGCCAGCAAACTCTCCTGACCTTAACCCCATAGAAAATCTATGGGGTATTGTGAAGAAGAAGATGCAATACACCAGACCCAACAATTCAGAAGAGCTAAAAGCCACTATTAGAGCAACCTGGGCTATCATAACACCTGAGCAGTGCCACAGACTGATCGACTCCATGCCACGCCGCATTGCTGCAGTAATACAGGCCAAAGGAGGCCCAACTAAATACTGAGTGCTGTACATGCTCATACTTTTCATGTTCATACTTTTCAGTTGGCCAACATTTCTATAAATCCTTTGTTTTTATTGGTCTTCAGTAATATTCTAATTTTCTGATATGATGAATTTGAGATTTTCATTTGTTGTCATTTGTAATCATCAAAATTAAACAAAATAAACATCTGAAATATATGAGTTTGTATGTAATGTATGAATATAATATACAAGTTTCACTTTTTAAATGGAATTACTGAAATCAATCTACTTTTTCATGATATTCTAATTTTATGACCAGCACCTGTATATATAATATAATGCATATATTAAAAACGTCTCTATTCTACTCTCTAATAAACACATCTCCATAACAAAGTTAATTTATTTCATTGATTCACACGATTTATTTCAAGCTTTCATTTGTATTAGAGTTTGATGACTTACAGCTAAAAAATATAAGTTTCTCAGAGAACTTTTATATTTTATAAAGATTTTATTTAAAAAAAATTAGATTCTAGTGAAGAAATGTTTTCCAGCTGTAAAATACGGCAACATTAAGCGTCCTTAATACTTGGTTGGACCTTTAAAAAAAAATTTGCCTCATCAGGGTTGCGTGACACAGCCTGTGTTGCTGGAGATATTATAAGGAAGGATTCTTTCTAAGAGGCCTTCAGCTCCTCTGCATCTGGAATCCAGTAAAATAAAATCCACTTTTCATAATACTTGTTAGCTGAGGGAGAGATGCGGCGCTCTAAAGCTTCCCGGTAACGCGCTGATCTGAGTTTAAACTTCAGAAAACGCAGTGAACCAAAACCAAATGACATGATGCTCCAAATCATTACTGACTGGGAAATTCATACACATGCCTCTCCATTCTTCCGCCACCATTCTGTCCTTCATATCCAAATGCCTACTTTGGACTAAAATGCATCTTAGACAAAATAAAAGTGGTCTCAGAGTTGTGGCCTATATCCTGAGTATGTCTGTGTATCTCTTATAGCTTTACTTTTTCTGTCGCACTTTTTCCTACCACTCAACTTTCAATTATCATTTTTGTACTCTTAACAGCTACCTTCTGGGTAAACCGTCTTTAACGGCTCAACCCTTTATAGGTTTTCACCGACTGATTGTAGGACAACTTATTGTGGAGAATATAATGCATTATATTTTTGTATTGTGAAAACCATAATCTACAGAAGAGGATTAGGGCCACTGAAAAAAAAAAAAGTTAACTGATTTTTAAATTTTATTTCAGTTTAACAGAATTTTAACTGAATTCTGAATTCTTAGATTAAAGTAAGAATTTTGAGATTAAAGTCAGAGTTCTGAGATTAAAGTCAGAATTATAAGAAAAAAAGTCAGAATTCTAAAAAAAAATTAGAATTCTGAGAAAAAAGTCATAATTCTGACTCCCCCCCCCCCCCCCCCCCCCCCCCCCCAAGTTAAACTGAAAAATATAAAAAAAATCCTCTTCCGTAATAATCTATTGGAAGATAAATTCATTAAAATTATCACCTTTTTTGGGAATTGAATTACTAAGAAATATTAATAAGTGTTAATTAGTCTCACCTTTTCATCATCGTCATCCTCCTCGCCCTCATCCATGAAGTGAATGGAGCTGATCCTGTTCATGTCTTTGCCATCCCAGACCTCATCAGCCATCCCGTTCACCAGGCTCTCCAGACCTCCAAAGCGGGCCAGATTGTCAGAGCCTGGAAGATGTTTTTGAAGAACCAATACATTTAGCCTCAGTGAGGTTCTGACAGAAAGATAAATCATACATGAAAAATAGCAAGTGCAAACTGCAGGAACTTATTTCAGCAATCAATATGTTTGTTACAATCTGTCCTCGGCTCAATCAATGAGAGCCGTCAAACACCCCGCTGCTAATAAGAGAGGGACTCAAACTGCCAGATCACAGTTTCAAATCCCAGCTTAGTCACAGGCTCACAGCAACACAATCTCCCCTGCCCCCAACCGAAGCCTCACCCAGCTGAAAGCCATATCTTTAAAACTGCATTTCTAACACAAGCGAAGGACATAGTGTCTCAACAAACAAGCATTTGCTGTGATATCTTGTTTGTTGTGAACAGGATTATAAAAAAAAATAAAAAATACTTGTAAATATCAAACAAATCTACAAACAAAAATCTGTTCAGAGATTTGAAAGTCTGCCACCAGTGGCTTCCGAACGCCACATGGATGAGCTTTCAATGTCAGCCTGTCAGCCAATGTTAAGCCTCTTTTAGCTGGAAAATCCACAACATTTCTGAAAGAAAAAAACATCCTAAGAAGGCCTCAGAGGACCAGAGAGATTCTGATCTATCAAAGGCACGACAGTCCCTTACAGCACCTCATATCAGAGATATAAAAGCATCAGAGGGCAGCGGTTCACCAAGCAGATCATGTAGTAATGTCACTGAATATGGGGTGGCGAATGCTTTGGAAGGAGGCGAGAACTGCTGGTCGCTTCTGGACGCAGTCGAAGCAGTTTGTAATTTCAGTCAGGTATCGGAAAAAGGTCTCATCTCAGTTTCTGCTTCTGATACCGAGCCCGACTCAATTATTGCAGATATCCACAGGTATTCCATGAGTGACATAAATTACCTGATTCACTGGGTTGCTGAGGCAGCAGGACGCAGGTGAGCACCTTCTCTCCTGATTCAGGATCTTCGTCTGGCTGAAAGGTGAGAAGCGGCTTCGACTGGTTTTCCGACAGCCAAAGGGCCTTCAGATGTAGCGTGGTCAGAGACATCGGCAGGTATGACAGGCTAAACAGGATGGAAAGCAAAACACAGAACCAGTTCAACATTAACAAACAATTCGCCTAAAAGTAGAAAGAAATATTTAAACCTAAAATGTTAAATTCATACATATTTAATAACATAACACAAAGTAACATATTTCTATTTTAAATTCTATTTAGTTATAATAATGGCTAAGTGTAAAGGGAACTTTTAGTTAACCAAAAACAGAGACTTTTACCTAAGACCAATAAAAAGGGGAGATTTTTCAATATTTGTTTATTATTGTCTTTTCCACAGTATAAATCGTAAAAGTCACATATACATACTGTCACCTGACCCGGGCAGTCGTGGGTGAGGGGTTAGGGTGTCAGACTTGGATCCCAAAGGTTACCGGTTCGACTCCTGACCCGCCAGGTTGGTGGGGGGAGTAATTAACCAGCGCTCTCCCCCATCCTCCTCCATGACTGAGGTACCCTGAGCATGGTACCGTCCCGCCACACTGCTCCCTTGGGGCGCCATTGAGGGCTGCCCCCTTGCACGGGTGAGGCATAAATGCAATTTCATGGTGTGCAGTGTTCACTTGTGTGTGCTGTGTCACAATGACAATGGGAGTTGGAGGAGTTTCCCAAAGGGCTTTCACTAAACTTTAGTGTAAGTTGTGCTAATGTGCTCATAAAATTACCAACATTCTTGTAATAATATCTATCCAAAAATCCAAACTGAAACCTAACAAAAGTTTTAAAATACACATACTTTATGGTTTTCTTGTTATTTCACTAATTTTCCACTTTAATACTTCCACTAAATAACTTTTACCTCCCAGCAGCTCGCATGCTTCCTACCAAGTCAGGTCTGTGTTAAGTATTATAACCAACTAGTGCTCAAAAATCATGATTAATCGATTATTGAAATAATCTTCAACTAATTTAGTAATCGATGAATCGTTAACTGGAGTATAGAGACTCTAAAACATGCCTTTAGCTGACAAAGCAATTCACTCAGAGCAGTAATTATATAGAAATTGTAAAAAAAAAACTATATAAATATTTTGCATTTGAGATACAAAAACTTTTTCGTGCATCAACATGCTCTATCATGAACTCCTTAATTGGAAAAGTTTTAGTTTCACCATGTTTATTTCTGTAAAAAACTTTCTTTAAAACCTTTTCCTTCCTTTTCAAATAATTGACAGATTCATCAATTAGCAAAATAATCTTTAGTTGCAGACCCATAACCAACCCTTCCACACACTATCATATTTGTCTGTCTCCAATCTTAATGATGCAGTTATTTTCTCCATGACATAAATACTTGATAAGATATCAATCCATTCTCCACTATAGGTACAAAAGTACTATGCCATCTTATGGTTATTGCTTTCTTAGCAGCCAGAAGCAGTATTCTCAACATAACATAGCCCATGTTACGGCCTAAATAATAATGGGGAACACTGCTGAGTTTCCTAGCAGGCGGCAACTGAGGAAGTCATAAAAAGTCTTGGAAAATGTCTGGAGGAAGAGGAGCAGAGCGCAGCATCCACGTTACTTTAGGTCGAGTCTGAAGTTTCTCTGGTCAGACAGGATCTAAGTAAACACGTCTGCTTGTTTTGGTCCCATGTGTTTTATCAAGTCAAGACTTGAGAAACTGCTGAGAGGGCTTCCCTAATACATCATGTTGATCATCTCCACGCCACGGCAAACTAATGTAGCATTCAACAGATAAAGAAACGTCAGCCATTAAAGTTGTAGGGAAACGGCTGTTCCAACCGTTGCATTTCTGAATTCTTCCGAGTGGTGCACGACTTTACACGAGTGAATAAAGTGAATGTGATTGGTCGATTATCAAGAGGGCGGGATTGTAGTGGCGGAAGGTTCGCAAGTAAGTTTGATTGTAGCCGGGTTTTTTTAAAGCATCCTGCTAATCAGTTAGCAACTTAGTGCTAGTAGGTTCCCAATGGGAAACTACATTGGGACCAAGTAGCAATAAATAGGTGACTTAGAAACGACTAGGGCTGCAACATCGAATCGATAAAAATCGACTTTTAAAAGCGTTGGCAATGAATTTAATCATCGATTAGTTGTGTCGCGCGATTAATGCGTCATCCGCCGCCGCCGTCATCATCACATCCACTTGACTGAAACGGTGGAAGAAAAAAAAAATACGGCAGAGCGAGTCAGCGCCGCAGTTGCAGTGTTGCCAACTCAGCGACTTTTCAGACCCCTCCAGCGACTATTTTTCAAAAAAGCGACTAGCGACAAATCTGGCGACTTTTTACGGTGTCACTGGCGGCTTTTGGAGACTCTTACGTGAATGCATGTATCGTTCCTACTCTGCCATGGGGCGCCTCCCCCATCCCCACCCCGTTCTCCCTCTCCCACAGGAGTCCCTCTCAGCGCTGCAGTCAGAGGATGTTTACCTTCAGCGTCCAGACAGCAAATGAAGCGCGCATGCGCCGGGATTGACGGCGCAAATTGATCACAATAATTAAAATAGCCTGCGCTTTGTAAAGTGAAAAAAGTCGTAACATGCAACTTTTGTAAAAACAAATGAACATGGCACGGAAGCACCACTGTTATGACGCAGCACCTGAAAAGAAAAGACGTTGGAGCCTTCAATGGCAGTGAAGAGAGCTGATCAGCAGGATGAGTAACCATGTTTGTTTCATTTTAAAGTGGGGAAATGTAACGTTAGTTTCTCAGGTAGCTCATCTGATGCTTTCCTTACCTTGTTAGTAGGTTACAGACAGTGATAAGGTTGGCTACTTATTTTACTTTTAATTTCATTTGAATTAGCTTAAGCAGCGTTTATATTTACTTTATAAATAAATTAACTTGCAAATTATGAGGGCAAGGCTTTTAAATCTTCTGGCAAAGAAAAAGTAAAGAAGATCCTGTAATTTATGGAAGTAAAGCAGAATAAAATCCAGCAAGATCAGTAATATGTCAATTAATTATATGCCACATTTCCATGTAAATATCTGTCTTTGGAGGATGTGTTTTTTTAGCACCCCTAATTCTCTCATTTTTATTCCAAATACAATTTATAATTTGAATCACAGGGCTATTTTTATCTCTATGGTTCAGTATTTTCTCAAGTAGCAACTTTAACTGCTATACTTTCCTGTCTTAAAAGGCAGAACTCTTCTAGTCTAAAAAAAACTCATTTGTTGAAATGGGGGGGACGTATTGTTTGAACCCCTTAGGGGCTTTTAAAAACAAAAATGTCTTTTTTTGCACCTTATGAAACAAAGTACCCTATATTTTGTGGGTGTACAGCTACATTTCTCATATAAGTTTGCGTAGTTTTAACACAAACATTTATTTTTCATATTGCACCAGTACAGTTAATGAGCAACCTGTACTTGTGTGCCTGTTTGTTCTGTCTAAAATGTTTATTTTGGAATAAAGAGGTTAATATACAAAATATTTTTTGTCCGATTCATCGATTAATCGAAAAAATAATCGGCCGATTCATCGATTTTTAAAATAATCGTTAGTTGCAGCCCTAGAAACGACACTGTCAAAGAACGTTATCGACAGAGGAAACATAAAAGAAGAGGAGAGTTTTGTGTCGGGGGTCAGGGATGAGTCTCCTCCGTCATACATTTTTTATTTAGAGGAGGAAAGCAGGGAACAAGATGTTGTGGAAGAGGAGCCAGGGTGGCAGAAGCTTGGTTTGGTGTAGAAGGCTTACAGCTGTACATGTTTGAGCCCTTGCCTCGCAACACTGCCAGTTCTGTTAGCTCTATGCCTGCCGAAGACACAGACGTCCATCCCCGTTAACACTGGGGCGTAACTCAATGGTAAAGTGAATGATTCTTATTAGGGATGCACGATATTGGGATTTCGGCCGATATCCGATATGCCGATATTTTAAAACTCATGTAGCCGATAACCAATATCGATACCAATGTTAAAGCTGGACAAAAATAAGTAGTCATTGAAAATAGCAGTTTTGTTATCCATTTCTGACACTTTGAAAAATAATATACTCAAATATATTTTCATATGCTGATATCAAACTGATTTTTAAAAACGTGGTATCGATCTATTTTACTTTCAAAATCTCATCCTTCTGTTACAAACTCTCATGATATTTTGCAAATTCTTGTGAGATTTTTTTTAGTAAAATAGATCGATACCGCGTCAATATATCAACATATAAAAAATATGGCAACATTTTGTGAATTTTCGATGGATTTCGTAGCATAACGATGACATATAGCAATATTTCATTAGTAAAAGAGATTGATATGGTGTTTTTAAATGGCAATATATCAACATATATGAAGATATTGTGATATTTTAATGTATCAATATTTTTTCCCTCGTCTTTAGAAGTTTTTAAGTCTGTAAAAAAGAAGTTTTTGAGGAAGAAGTAGTATTTTGTTTTGGGTTTTTTTTTAGACTTTAGAAACTCAGAAGCTGATCAAATATCGGGTTAAATATCGGTGGGGTGGCCGATGTCCGATATTCAGTTTTAAGGCCGATACAGGCCGATACCGATAGGGGGCCGATTATATCGTGCATCCCTAATTCTTATTTCTTATTTCGCCTCTATTAGCTACGAAAAATGAATCAAGATGCTACGGATGAAAAGTTTGATTAACAGGCGACCGTTGATATATGTTTGGCTGAATTTAGGTGTACAAGCTGACGTATAACTAACTGGCCTGCATAAGATAAGGAAAAAAGAAACAAACAGATTTTAAGACAGGTTTTTTTTTTTTTTTTTTTTTTTTTTTTATAGAAATTTGCAAAATTTTGGGACAATATTGTCTGATAAAAAGCACCTTTATATACATGTTTAAACCAGAATGATTTGATATTTAAATATGATTTCCCTACAACTTTAAAAAATGTTCTCGTTAAAGTTCTGATGTATTGTGATGAACATGTAAATTTAACGTAATTTTCCAAATACATATTTTTGCGTTTTCTGTGATCCAATGACGTTCTGTAGGTAAGCCAGTGATGAACGTACCGGTTTCCAGAGACATCCAACACATGCAGCTCACTAGCTTGTGACAGCTCTGCTGGTATCCTCTTCAGGTTGTTGTCTCGCACACAGAAGACGTTGAGACCGCAGCAGCCTCCAATCTAGATGACAACACAAGCATGCATGTCAGTCTGAGCAGAGATATACTGCTTGTTAACACAGTCAGAAAATAGCAATGCAAATACTATGATGAAAGTGTTTTTCTTCTTTAGGGAAAAAAGCTGAAAAACAAATTGAAAGCAGGGGAAATCTGTGTTAAGCGTAAGGATGGCAGTGTGACCCAAAATTGGTAATGATGAGAGGAAATGGGATGTGGCAGAGTAACAGAAAATTAGGCATAATTGTCAAGGAAAGGCAGGGATCTGGTTGGCAATAGGCTTCATCTGTTACATAATACATCTAGAAATAAGATGTGAATAAAATTTCATTATTTAAAATTTCATGGCTAAAAATGCATGAAAAGCAGCCAAAAAATGCTGGTTTTAAAGAACCATCCCTCCCAAACACGCAAACCAAATCTTAAAAGTTTGCAAATATACATAAATCTGCTTTCTTCACTCATCACACCAATGGATAAAACCAAGCATGGCACAGAAAACTGAAATGAATTAACAAATCTATGCCAACCTCAGACCCTGTCTATACCATGACACCGCCTGCTTGCCTCCATTGTCTGCGATACACGTGTTGAACTGTTATTTTTTTTATCGTTTTCCTCTACACACTGTAGGCTTTGCATATTTCCCACACAGGGGCATTGTATGAGCTCTAAATAAGCCTTTCAGATTAAGCCTTCAACCAAGCGTGACTTCACTTAGACAGACAAGAGTCTGCAGAAGAAGTGTCACACTCAAAGACAATAGTGACACTCAAGACAGAGCTGAAGCTGAACGAACATGTAGACGCACAACAAACAGGAGCATTGTAGAAAATAAAATGGAGAAAGGGCTTTATTTTGACTTTTAATTCAATCACAAACAATGCTGCCAGCAGCGCAACTTCAGTCTGTAATTCTCAAGCAGGAAATTGTGTGAAAGAGCTTCAGTTTGAGCAAATCGAGCCACCTCTAGACAGGTAACTGGTGTTGTGCACAATCGCATGCAACCGAGCATGCTAATGAGCGGCTTAATGATGGCATTTTGATACATGAAAACATGTAGTTTAGGTTTAAAGGCAATTTCAACCATTATCAAACAGCAGAAAGAGTCACAAGACTGTCTTCCACAGGCATAAGTTGAAACTCCCACACACGTATCTCTCTGGGAAGCTTATACCCAACATAAACCTAAGGCTTAAGGCCTATCCATCATAACCACTATACTGTGGCATCCTGTGTCTGCACTTCTTTTGTTGTTGTTCCTGAGCCTGCAGCAGGCGGGGAATGAGTCAAGCTATGGGTGTACAGGTACAACAAAATACCCTGGAGCCGGATTAATAGTGTAGCACTCTAGGTTTAGTCCGACACATTATTCAGGGTTTATACAGGAATGAATAACTTAAATTGAATGCTTTTTAATGCTCTTTTAATGCTCTTAGAAATAATTTTAATGTCACCAACAGGTACCTATCGACAGGCTGCAGCCATGTCCCGAATTCCTCGTTTTCAAGCCACTTGAAATTGAAATTTGCTTTTTTTCCCCCCATTATCTAGCTTTTTCTCCGACTCAAGCTTCTTTTCTGAACATACAGCTCTGCGATCAACCGGAAGCAGTTCCACGCAAATATATCGTGATATAATATGTCTGAGGAATTTGCTTTTATAAACATTTTTTTTAATAAAGCATTTTAAATGCCACAATAAACACATTTAATGAATTTTAGTGCCAATTAAGGCCTTAGTTTAAAAAATAATAATTTAATGACTTTTAATGATTTTTAATGACCCGCGGAAACCCTGTTATGAACCTGGGACTGCTCTTATCCAATCAGTTTGGGGAAAGGAGGGCATTCAGCAGAACTTTCCAAGCAGATTGGGCAAACCGAAGCAAGTTCCCACCAACCAAAGTTTGGTTTAGGCCAATCACTGTAACAAATGAAAATAGCAGCAAACACCATGAACAACCACAGAAATCTTTTGCTGTTCCCCCTTCAAAGATTAGTTTTCTGTTAAGCTTCTTCATGTGGTAAATTGTGAACATCAATCAGTTTAGTTTTAACCAGTATAGAGATGCAACTAAAGATCATTTTGCAAATCGATTAATATGTCGGTTAATGGATCAATAATCGGATAGTAAACGAAGACTTAAAGAAGATTTTTTTTACAGAATTAAACCAGATGAAACTTTTCCACTTGAAAAGTACTGGATAAAGCACAATGACCGAAGAAAAGGGTTTTTTAATCTTAAATGCAAATTGTTTATATATTTTTTTTTTACAATTTTGGTATAATTGATTCTCAAAATGGGTTGCTCTGTCAACTAAAGGCATGTTTTAGTGTCTATGTACTCCAGTTAGTGCTTAATTGATTACTAGTTATCGTTTCAATAATCAATTAATTTAATTAATTGTTTCAGCATTAAACCAGTGTAAACTAAACATTTCAATCTCAACAACCTTCTGTTTTTTTTTCCATTTTTAAATTGAGGTTGCATCAATAGCTACTGAAAAAAATAATTTCTAAGAGTGTCAGTAGGGTTGTAAAGGCATACCTGCTTTGGTAACATTGTTAGCTTGTTTCTGTCACAGTTTAAGTTGGAGAGTTTCTTTAAATTTCCAATACTAGCAGGCAAAATCTGTAAGAAAAGAAAACCATGATCAGACTTCATTTCAAAATGTTCCTATTTAAAATCTACACAAAACTGCATCCTCATTTTTAAAAAAAACAACACACAAATGATCACGTATTTCTTATTAATACATATTTACAATCCTATATTCATTTCTCCTACTGATCAGATATCATTAAAGAAAAAATAAAATAAATCTATGCATTAAGGTTTGCTAATACCAACACATCATGACACAATGCAAAAATATCTATGGACGGTCTGCTAAAATTATGTTAGACTTTTACTGGACTGCTGCTTATCAAAGATGAACTAAACTACCTGTAATTACCATTTAGTTCAACAGAATAAAATGATTTGAAATTTTGAAGCAGTTTTTGATAAGTCATTACAAGCAAAATGTAAAGGTAGAAGATGAGTCTTAGATTAAATCGTTATAAATTGTATTAACAATTATTAATACTCCTGGTATACAACAACAACAAAGAGCAAGTACCAATGGTAATATGGCAAACCACTAAACTGCATATTTGCAGCTAAGTTTGGATCGCAAGTCAGTCTTTTGTTGGTCAGGTTGTTTTAAAGTCTCTATTGATGCTTTAACACTAAGTTCAGGTCATTCTGGGCAAGTAAATGTTTTATTCTTTGGCCAGTTTTTCAGACCTGGCTTATATTTTTCTAGTATTTTCTATTAACTGGCCAACAAGGCCTTTTTTGATTCTGTTTTTTCATCATAAAAACAGTCTGACCAGTCAATCTAAAGTAGCTTGACCTTTTTGCTGCTGCTTGATTTTAGACTTGTGCTCAAACTGGTCATCATAAGCCATCAATTTGAGGCACTCAAATAATATAGAGAAAGACCAACCTGTATTTGGTTCTCAGTGAGAACAAGCTCTGTCAGACTTTCACAGTTACCAATGGATTCTGGAAGAGACGCTATCCTGTTCTGGTCAGCTTTCAGGATAGAAAGCTTCCTTAGTTTTCCTGCACAGAGAGAAAACACATTTTGATAAATGTGACATGCCAGAAATCATCATAGCAGTTACAGACGAGAACTGTTTTTGTAAACATCTGCAAAGATCATACAGGTTCACACTCTGAATGCATCAAAAGACCTCTAAAAAAAACTAAATGGCCTCTACTTATATAGCGCTTTTTCCAAGTCAGAAGACTTCGCCAAAGCTCTGTACACAACCATTTACCCATTCACACACACACACACACATTGGAGCCAAAGGTCCTCTGACCACCACCAGTAGGCACTGCAGGTGAAGTGTCTTGCCCAAGAACACAACTATACTGAAAGCCTGAGACGGGGCCTGAACCAACAATTCAATAAAACGGAACGTTTGACTATAACTGCACAAATAGTTTGTGTCTCATTATCAAACTACATTTATACAAGCAAAAAACAACCTTTTAAATAAAATTTAGTGAAATATATGTTGGCCAAGGGGTGCAAATGCCATGTAGATGCATAATTTCCCAGCAAATTCAAAACTAATACGACTAAGACTATTAGACTAAGACTAATACAAAAACGCATACAAAGAAAAAAGTATGTTATATGAGAAAATAAAAAAAAAAATTCTGACAAGCTGATGGAAATTTCTATAGAAATGATTCAAAATTAAAAGTAGCAGTGTGGCTCATCATAATAAAGCCCCTTCGTGAAATCATTTTAAATGTTTCAGGGTTTGGTTTTGTTTCTTAGCTAATGGTCCTCAGGTTTTCATCAGCTTAAAAACATCTTCAAACTGATTTTGCCCCGTGTCAAGATCCTGATTATTCTCAGCTAGAGGTGGGAATGTGAATAGTTGTAAAGTTTTCTCTAAAGCTTTGGATCAAATGTGTTAGAAAATTAGAAAATGTCCAAATAAAATCAGACAAAGACACTAAATTATGCTGAAAAAGAAAAAAAAAAATCCCCGTTCTTACCGACACTTTCTGGAATATACTCCAGATTGTTCTGTGACACCAGCAAATCAGTGAGTGACACCAGTCCTCCCAGCTGCTCCGGTAGAAACTCCAGCTTGTTTTCAGATACATCCAGATATAACAAGGTCTTAATATTGCACAGCTCCTACAGTGCAACACAAACACAGGCACTTAGAAAATGTGCATTTGGAAATAATAAGGCAGAAATGATCCTTCGCTCTTAGTCTGGGAGAAGATATTCTTTTCTTCTTGTAAAAAAAAACAATGAAAACTAATAAAAGTAGGCATCATGGTTCTGGGCTCTAGTATTTCTCATATTCAAATATTAATTTCATCAGTTATATTTCTATGTTATATACAGTTGGACAGAATTCTTTAACACAATAAGAAAACTGAATAAAACAGGCTAAATAGACGAGGATCCAGTACAAAAATGCAGACAATGACTGAGTGACTTACAGCAGGTATTTCAGTTAAGTGGTTTCCATCCAGCCATAAGTCCCGCAGGCTAATAAGACAGCCAATTGATTCAGGCTGCGAGTATGGAAAACATAAATGGAAGAGACGAGGAAACAGGAAGAGGAGAAAATAAAATGGAAAATATCAGTTTAGCTTTTATATGAACAATCTGTTGCGCTACTTTTAATATGTTGGTAATTTTCAAATTAATTTTAAACGAGCTCAGAGTTATAATGACTAAAGGCTTTAGGCGAGAAGTAAACAGAGCAGCAAGCATAGGGAGGAGATCAAGGAGGGGTCTTTCAGCAAAGGTCACTAAGACCAACATGAACATTTCTACAGCTTTAACAGGAGGCTATGGAGAGGTCCGTAATCAGGATGTTTTCCTCTCTCACTGCTCAGATAAATCATTCTACAAATAAAGGAAAAAGGTTGTACAACATGGAAGAAGTGTTCTCCACAGGACTGTCTGTAATTGGTCTTTCCAACCGGGGGTCATTTTGATGGTTTCTCTCTTTCTGAGGACAGCTTTCCTCGTTAATTGGGCGTTTTATCCATTGGTGGGCGACAGATACCCACAAGCCCAGTTTTTTTACACTGTAGTGTGTTTTCACAGAAACTCAACAGGTTGGCATATTTCAGACAAACACAAAAACATGCTGCAGTTTTTTACTAATGAAAAACTGAATTGCTTCATAATCCCTTTCATACATCATAAGGTAGGAAGGAGTTTTTTCACTATCCAGCTCACAATGAGGAATACATTTTCAGCATAACCCTTTCAAAAACATGCATTCATATTTTTTATTCCTAATCGAATATATTTTTGCTGTGTTTAAAAAGCTGAGTGGGAAAATGCCTGAAGAATTAAAAAAAAAAAATCAGTCTTTTTTTTAGTTTTATAGGGAACAAAACAAACAAGTTTTGTGATTGTTGAGGTATAAAAACATTTTCCATTTCCTAACTTTATTCTTTCTAGTCTTGAAATCCTTCACGGTCAACAGAAAAGCCGTTCTTGTGAGATTTTAAGTTAAAAAGAAGGCTTTGAACGGATAGCCATCCTACCATCTGCATGATAAGATTGAACATCTGTTCTCAGGGGATCTAATCTGCCTGAATGCGACAAGCTCAAGGAAATGGGAGGATTTTAATTTGCTCATTTTGTTGACAGAGTAATGTTCTGCAGAAGAATAAAATAATCACAAGCAAATAAAAGAAGTCATTTTTTTCCCTAAACTTACCAAACTGTAGAGTTCATTATTGCCGAGGTCAAGTTCTTCAAGTTTATGAAGTTGAGATAATGACCTGTTGGTGACAAATACTTTAAAATTCAGACACAGAATTAAAAGGAAATGGACACACACATATATCGATGGAGGACTTACTCTGGCAGCATCGTCAGGACATTTTCTCTGAGCTCTAGTGATACCAAATTAGACAGTCTGTAATCAGAAACAGAAAGGAAGAAGATTACATGTTAGGAAATGGAGTTTGCAAAAAAGAACAAAAAAAGAAAAACTGCCCCAAAACTGATGGTCTTCCTTTCAGATAACAGGGAACAGGAAGTACTTGGGAGGTGTGTCTGTTATCAAGCGCTGCAAAATTGCAGCGGCATAAACAACTGCTTCGTACTTTCAATTGCAGAGTAAAATGTCTTAGAGACTACGAGAGACCAAAGTACAGGAGTTATCTTCTGGTATCAATGCGCTTTGTCAACATGTACCCAATTAAAGCAAGATTTGATATTTATCATGTTGCTCACCTGCTACATTTGGAACCAAAGCATTAAAGGTAAATATAAATGTTTTTGTGAAGAACTGATCCGTAAAATTTTGTGTGGATATTTGGCATTCTATACACTTATGTGTTTAATATTGATGTATTTAATGTTTTTTATTATTATTATTATTATTAATAGCAAAGATGTGAAGTGGAAATAAAGTGCTACATGGTTTTTAAAACATTTTATCTAAATTTTGCAGTGTCCGTATATATTTCAGGCATATTTTCCTTTTTTTTTTTTTTCTTTTTTTTTCACATTTTCAAACAGATCAATTTGTGATATTTTTGAAACTTGGGACATTTTTCCATTACCTAACCCCAAACTAAACCTCCTGTCTGCTGCACTGTGCTGTCATCTTCGCTGATTCTCTCTAAAAACCTCTATAAGCTGTTACAGAACAGCTAAAAATAAACACCACACATTTTTTTATTTACTTACATTTTATTAAGAGGTATCAGACCGTGGGACAATATTAATTCACACAAATTCTTTAGCTTTTCTCCTTTCCAACATTTAATTGTTTTAATTCCACTGACTTTATACATCCCTGCTTTGTTTACATAACATCCCCATAGCTTCAGCATCATTTTATGATTTTAACATAAACCTTCCTCTCTGTGCAGAGTTATAGTCAACATTTAATGTTTCCCATGGAAGCAGCACCAGATCTTAAATTAAACCAAATAAAAGCCTTCATGAACCACAGGGTGACCCTCTGCTGAGGCCACAAGAAATACAACTACCCATCAATCTTGCTTCTTGTTGCTGTTTATGCATTTATTTTTTTATTTTCACTAGCCACAGCAGGTCACTAAGCTAATGAACATATTTCTTGACAGAAAAAAAAGAAACAAAACCCGTACATCCCAGAGATAAACTATTGGAAGCTTTTAACCCCTTGTCTATTTATCTTATCTAGTCTGAAACCTGCAGCCTTTAATGCAAACTGTGTTCTGCTTTTCATTAAATGCTCCCCCTTGATGGAGACAAGCATTTGAGTCAATGCATTATAAAAAAAAGAAAAAAAAGAAAATGGGCATGTTTGGGGGGAAAAGCTGTACTGCAAGGCAAAGGAGGGAGACAATTTCCACAATACAGAGGTTGAAAATCAATATACCTGAAAGCAGTTGATGTTGCCACAAAGCATGTATCCCCCCCTCCAAAAAAAAACCACCAATAATACTTTCAAAACGCAGTTGAAGCAGAATCTAAAAAAAAACAAAACCTAAATCCCCACCTACTGTGGAGAAACTATTTTTAGATTTATCCGTTTAAAGCCGCTGAGTGAGATGTTGTGCATGACACAAAATAATACAAATGGATGAAAGTCCCAGCAGCCCTTGTAATTTTTATCCCAAAACCATACTTAATCCCCGAACATATGGGCTTATTCATGTCAATACCTAGACATAAAAAATAAACATATTTATTTATTTTATCCAGGAAGCAAGCATGAGTTCAAAAACCTACAAAACTCAGCTATCCTCATAATAAATCGTTATCAAAGTCTGAAATAAGTAAACAAAGACTAATTTAACACCAATATATATGAGAAAGCTAAGAAAGAACCCACTATGTTGATCAACATTTTAAGACAATCCGTTGAAGCAGAGAGACAGAAACCTTTTTCCAATAAACATAATCACCCTTTCATTTATCCTACCGAGTGAGACGATCAGGAGCAGAGTAGACTATATATGGTGCTCATACTAGATGCCTGTATATCATGACATCAGAGTTTCCTACTCAGTGTCTTCCTGTGAATCTCTAGATTGCAGTCTAACCTTAAATTTACATTGCCTCCGGGTAAAGTGAGGTAGCAGTAAATCTAATATAGGGAGAGAACATACTGGTTTGGCTTCCAAGGCGTAGTTTATAAAATGTTCAATAAGGTTGACAACAGGGCCTTTCCAAATCCTAAGAATAGCCTGATTTACTGGTTCAAAAAAATAAATCAATCAATTACAGAGCGTCTTTGGATAACTGTCAGGCTAGAGGACACTGGAACACAAGTGTATCAAGAGTAGGGGTGGGTATTGGCAAAGAAGTCATGATTCGATTCGAATCACGATTCACATGCCACGATGCGATTCTATCACGATGCATCACGATACTTGAAATATTGCGATGCATTGCGATATTTTCACTGAACACTATAAGAAAAAGATACAGCCATTACCAGTGGCTGACTGGGTGTGTGTGATCTGGATAGTGTCTTCAATTGATACATAACTGAAAGCAACTGAATTCATACATAGCTGTATTTATTGAAACGACTTTTGGAGGTGTTGCCATGAAAACAAATACTGGACAGAAATATTACTATTACTGGCGTGGACACGCTGACAAAAAGATCTTAGGATTCATCAAACTTAAAATAACAAAAATAGGGATAATCAGTGCCATTTACATGGCCTCAGTGGTCCTTTAAACCAATGAAATGAAAACATTCAAATGTATAACAGAGAAGGTTTTTACCTTCTTTGTTTTTAAAGCCAAAATGCATCCAAGCATCTGACTTGAAATGATATGGAGCCGGGCGAATTTTCTCAGGCACCTCCATGTTTTGTTCACGAATGACTCGTCTCAGTATCCCGCGGCCGGACATGCTTGTGACACAAAGCAGCGGGCGTCAACACATCCGCAGCGACATCTGCTGGACTGGAAGTTGTATTCCACTTGATTTGGCTGATGTGCGCCAACCATTAATGTATTTTATTTGTTCATTTTTTTAAATTAAGAATCGATTCTTGCCATCAAGAATCGATGCAGTAGATCACAAGAATTAGAATCGCGATGCATCGATATCACGATTAATTTGCACACCCCTAATCAAGAGTAGGTGAGTTTAACATAGATTTTAAAACAATATAAACATCTCCCCTGTTTGACTGTTTTTTGCAGCAGCCAGCATGGTCAAAGCTTAATACAGTTAAATGAAAGACTTGGATATCTGGTTAGTGTTGAAGGACTCAAGAGCATGCTTTAAAAATGGATCAACTGCTAAGGCATGGTGGTGTTGGTGTCATGCTGAGGGGTTTTTTTTCACTTACAAAAGAAAAAAACAAAAGATAGAGAGATAACACTTTGCATGGTTTATTGGGACAACTGAGAGAAGCACACATCTAAACAGAATCTGAAAATGAAGCACATTAAGCTTCTGGAATAAACCCTGACGTCAACCCTGTCAAAATTACTGAATCTGTATAAACGGCGAGCCTTTGGCTGGGAAGCAACTAACTGAAATTAGTTCTTTCATTTCTGATAATATGTTATTTAAGGTGTTTTTACTACAAGAAAATCATCGATAATTTCAAACATGCACAGTTTTCCTTACATAATTATACAGACAAGAAGAAAAAAGAAATCTAATAAATCAAAATGTATCCATAATGATCCTAAAACTGACTGTGAGAATATGTCCACCCCAGAGCTGCACTGTATGTTTCCTCATTAACTGCATCTCTGAAAATCCTGTAAGGTTAAAATCAGGTTGATCCTTAAATTCCAAACCCACTTTAAAACACATCCCCTGTGCCCCCCTCCGTCCTAAAACACATAGCTCTGTTATTAAATTCACGTACAGCTAAACTCTACAATAAAGGAGAGCTTACAGGGGCATGAATATTGGCAGACATGTCATCCACTGCCAGAGGCGAATATATGTAAAAAGACAGAGCAGCCTAGTCAGAGACAGTGACTAACGTGTCTGGAAGCAGTGATGTGGTTGTTTTGGGGAAGAAATCAGGACATAAAAGAAAGCAGACATGCTGGGTCTGTTCCTGTTTCTGACGTTATTTGCTGCTTAACTTGTGGTTGATTGAGCTTTAGTTAGAAACATGGTTGTGTTTTTTTTTTTTTTTTTCTAAAGGAAAAAAAAAGAATGTGTGGGATGTTTTTAAAGTCCAGAGGATTTTAAAGAACAGAAACTATTGTATGCAAGAATTGTTCCACAGCCCACAAAGAACGGCTGATACATTTCCGAAGTAACACATTTAACTATAATATGAAGCCTCATTAAAAAGCACATCCCGATTTAAGATAACCTTGCAAATAGAGGTGGATGTTTATTTGTAAAGAACCAAAAGGCAACTTTACATCCTGTATGCACTTTATACATTCCCTTTTTATTCTTTGATTAGAATAAAATATTTGACCATTTAAGTGCATCTCCTTACCTTCCAATGTCTTCAGGAAGAGCCTGCAGTGAAACATCATTGATGGACAGGCATGTTAGATTTTTAAGTAGGGTAAAGCTTTCAGGTAGCCTGAAAGATAAATAGGAGAGAAAGTAACTGTTAGATTAACATTATCCAGTCTATGAGTTGTCCAGAACTTGTTTCAATTACTTTGAGGGGTACAACCTGTATAAAACTGATTCCTTAAAATTACTTAATTGATTCTTTTTTTTTAAGATAGCGTCATTGAAAAAAACAAAAGATCCAACCTTTATCTCTGACATGATATAAATAACCATTGGATCCCCTAATTATTATTCATTATTTATTAAATAAATGTAACTAAAGCTTTTTTTTGGCTCCATTATGATTAATCCAAGATGTTCTCATCAATAATCCAAATAAATCATTATTTCCTTGGGGTATGACAATAATATGACAGCTTTTTCTTTCCCTTTCTGTTCCCACCAGAACAGGCTGGATCTGTAACAGAACACGACATCAGCTCCCTGTCGTTCAGTCATCTATCGATGTAGTAAAATAATTAAATACTAATTGCCACCCCCCCCCCTTGCAAATGGTTGACCCAAAAAATTGTTACGGATTCAAGTAATAATCAATGAATGCCGCTCATTTCATTCAATTCTCATTTTTGTATTTTTCTGACTTCTTAAGAGAATAACAGGATCCGCCTGCCACAGGAGGTTTTATAAAAGCTAAACAATCCTTTGTGCCTGCATTTGGTTTCTGCTTTGACAAAATCTGTTACCTGGTGAGCGACTGAACTGAACTCAAACGTATAACTGTCCTTTTCCAGCCTTCTGAAGCCTAACATCGGGTAAGGTTTATAGGTCTAAACTTAACTTACTTTTTGTACTTTTTTTTAATGTACAAAATAACTTCACAACCCAATTACCATGAAGTTGCAACTAGGACCTTAGCAATATAACAGGTATAAACAAGCAGTGTACAAGTGGAAAATTGTGTTACTACAGCGAAGAAAGTGCTGATGAGGTTAAATATGTAAACTACTGAATTGCAGCAACTTTTGCTTCCAATTACAGCAGACTGCTAAACACCCCCACACTGTAAAGGCATGTGGCGCTGCTCATGCTGAGGCCTAAATTAGACGTAGTCTCAAATCTAAATTGAAACCAAAACACAATCTGCAAACCGATTAAAAAAAGGCAAAGGATGTATTAAACCTATGAAAAGGAGACATATTTTTATTTTTCATCTTGGAAACATTCACTCAACACCTTTGTAGTTAATTCCACCTTGCATTAGAATGCACTGGTGAAAGGAAACATCTAGAAAGTACCTCATTAATGGATTTCCGCTGAAATCTGCAACTTGGAGGGCTTTGCAGTAGGAAATGCTCTCTGGAATGTCTTGAATATCTGATTGAAAGACAAAGCAGATGTGGACGTTAACGGGCAGAGATGTTGGTTAGAGGAGAAGTTAGGCTATATAAATTAATTAACACACATTCAATTTAAAGATCAACCTAAATCCCAGGACCGGCTGGGTGATGCACACAGGAGACCAAGCATTTCAATGTGTTTGAGATGAGCCCTCATGGGGTCAGAGGTGTCGGCACACACTTCACTACTTCCTTGCAAGTTCATATTTCTGGATTTTTTTGTTTAAACAAAAACACATCCTCCGTCCTCCGTTTGCTCATGTATGAAGCAACAGGGCAAAATCAACCTACACACAAACTGCTGAGGCAGCTGCTCATACCTAGTTAGGGATGCACCTTTTAAAAACATGAGGAAAAGAGATAAAACTTTTGCACAGTTTAAATAAATAGTTAATCTGGGGTCAGGTTGAGGGTTTGTCAATCACGCATCTATACTGCGTTGCTGCATCATCATACATCCTTGCTTCAAATGAATTGCTGTCTGAGAAAGTGATGATCTCTACGGTTCATTAGGGATTTTCAGCTTTGCTGCAGATGGTACAGTAGTGTCTCCACCAATGAAATCTTCTATTCAAATCATATAATGAGGCTATTTTGAAAAAAAAAAGACATCAGGCATTCATCTTTTAATTGATTGGGCGCTCTCTCTTTTGAGGAAACAATCATATTTCAACTCAATAAATCCATTAAACTAATTAGCAGAAAGATTTTAAAAAGGATGTTTTCTTTTCTGTCTGTACATTTTAATCTTGTGTTGAGCTTCTTATTTTTAGTTTGGCGCCAAGCAAAAGTATTCAACTCTTGTACTTTTTTATGCTTTCTTATAAAAACAAACACGTCTATGCATTTTCTTGGGAATTTATGGACTCCATATTGTTTTAAATTTGTCCAGGCTCAGTCTTAAAGCTCGGTTTATGCTTGACGTAAATGCAAGATTTGCACGATTAGGTTGCCTTTAAGCATCCACGTCCTGAAATGTTCCACATCCTCCATCCAGGAGAATTAGCAGCTACCCACACAGCCCCGTGGAGAAGAAAAAAAAAAATACAGTGAATGAGCAACAACTCCAAGTAGAAGGTTTGGAAATAAAGGGCGTTTCTCAATTCACGAGAACGCGAGTACGTACTCGCGTTCTCGTCAAGTCCGTTCTTGGCGAGAACGCAGGAAGATCGGACTTGACGAGAACGCGAGCATGCAAGCACGTATGTGTATTGGAGCAGAAGCGTACTTGTGACGTCATCACAGGCAACGTTGTTTAGCATTTCTTTAACAGTCAAAACTATTTATTCCCTACACAAAACATTTTGAAAACAATATTTTTAATTTCTAAAGCTTAAAAAAAATTTTAAAAAATTACCGAACCGCAAAAAACCGCCATCAGAACGAGCAGTAGTTCACACATAACTAGACCGAGAGAAGTGCACTACAGACGGGGTAAATTTAGCCCTGGCTGCAGTTACCCTCGGAGGTCTGCTGGTCACTCTGGTCCGCTCAACGTTGGACTTTTTTTTTTTATTTCGCACTAAATCTGTAAACAGACCACACAGGGAGGCTTAAATGTATAATGTTATCGCCTCAAACGATTTCAAAACGTACTTTTGAAGAACAACAGCAGCAGAAAAGGGAATGTTTAACTTAACACTGTGAGCGCTGTCTCGAATCAAGCTGCGGCCGCGGGGCATTCTGGGAAAGCGGTCAGTCTGAAGAACGCACAAGTCTGCTCTGATGCATGCTCGATAAAGAGGGCAGGGTGAGAACAACATCCGGGGATTTGTGCGTTCTCGATCTGGCGTTCTTGAGAATTGGAACGGTACTCGGGCTGAGGCTGATGACGTGTCACGAGTACACGAGCACACGAGAACGCTCAAGAACGCTCAAGAACACATATTGAGAAATGGCCAAAAACTCTGTTTTCTACTTCTACACATAATGTGGTGTTCTATGCTGGCTGTTTGTGCCCTACACTGCCCCCTAAAGTCTAACCTAAAAAATTATGCAACAAGCATAAACTTTGCCACAGATTCTTTAATTCAATTCAGTTTATTTATATAACGCCAATTCACAACATAAGTCATCTCAAGTCACTTTACAGTTCAACCAGACCATACAGTCAAAATAATTCAATGTTTTCTATCCAAGGAAAACCAGTTGATTGCAACGACTTTACCCACTGCAAGTCTGGACATTTTAATTGAGATTATGCTTTGATTTAAAGTGGTAAATCAGTTGTTTGAGAACAGCTGTTTCAGGGAGAAGACGTATCAGAACCATTCAGGTGGACAGCCATGTCTATGGAGGTTTTCAGTTTAATATTCTGCCAATTTCTGGATGATCATCTGAACCTGACTGTGTCCTAAACTTCACAACTTAATCCATGGCCCATCAACTGGGTTTTTTGTGTGTTTTTTTTTTTCTACAGCTGTATTTACATTAATATTAAAGAGTATCACACATGTATACTTTTTGTACATGAGGACACTTCAGATGGCAACTTCTTAATTGATTTGAATGGGTTGGGTAGACTCATCATTAGGGGTGTGGAAAAATTATTTTGGCAATATGTCGTGATTTTTGGCTGCCTGATATAATATCAATCTTTTAGTTCTTAGTATCGATTTTTTTACAGCAAAATGTTTTTACCTAATACTGAGGGAAAATGGGCTACCTTGGTACCGCCACTCTGGCAGATAGTGCTGTTGAGCCCTTCTGCTGTGCGGCGCAGGGCTATATCTGTAATTGAGGTAGTCCCAGTGGAAGATGTGGACTGACTCAAACCCCAAGCAACATGGATACCAAAATACATATACAGAGGTTGTTTTTTTATTTATACATTCAATTTTGATTGCAAGAAAAATACTGCAATAAATGTTGATATTGCAATATAGTGATAATATCGTATTGTGACCCATACTCACCCCTACTTATCATACTTAAACATAAATAGAAAATATAAATCTATTTCCTTCTACTCAACCATCATGCAGAACAACAGCTACAATGACTTAAAGATGAAAAAGTTCCAAGAAAAATGAACTATTTTGCAAGGTCTTGTCAATATTTTACAAAGAACTATTTTTAAACCAAATGCAACCCATCTCCTAATAGAAATAAAAATACAATTTTCATTCAAACAGAGAAAATAAAAAGGTTTGAATTTGGTTTCTCGTCTGAATCTAGTTCTAAACCATCTTGCTAATGAAAACCACTCTCTGTTTTTATGTTCCCCGGTTTCAGCAGCTTCACAAACGAGGAGTCAACCTGTCAGAGTTGATTCATTTGCTGAATTCTGCACTGTTGCTCAACCCTGGATGTTCAAGCTGTTAAAAATAAAAACCCCAGAAAAACAGCTGCATGTGTAGATTAATCTATCATACTTTAGTGTCAGATAGGTCTTTATTTTTACCATTTCGTGAAAGATCCAACTCCATCAGCTCCATAAAGTTGCCAATCTCTGCTGGAATTCGGAGGATCTCATTGTCACTCAGGGTTAGTTTCCGAAGTTTCAGCAGCTGAAACAAAGGCTGGAGAAACAAAGAAAAAAACAAAAACAAATAGTCATTGAAACCCTTCACGAGAAAGCACATTTTAAACAGAAAACAAATCAATGATTAAACAATACAAAGTACTTTAAATGATAAGGTGTCAGCATATCTCTCTATTTTTTGCATCCACTCATTCATTATAAAACAATGAAAGATTATTTATTGATGGATCAAAGGCTAAAAGAAATTCTGACCAGTATGCTAAATAGATATATCACTGATTACAATTTTATTTTATTTTAGAAAACTGATTAAACAACTTTCCACAGCTACCCAACTCGGGTTTTTCTGAAACTGCTGCAATTGGGTAATATCACTAATAAGATTTATGACTTTAAACCAATGAAAAGCAAAGCTTTCTAAGATTAATCACCTTCACTTTATGCATTTTTTTAAAGTAAGATCAACAATGAGACTGGGACAGTACATGAGCTCTGCACTTATTTATTGTTTTTCTTATTTTGTAATTATTCCTTAACTTTTACACTAAAGCAAGATTGGGAAAACCAAAGCAAATAGATCACAAATCCCACTCAGTGAACAAAATCAGCCACTATGCCGACTTTATAAAAGGTCAACTTTTAAAAAGTTGGATTTCCTTCTATTCGAAGAGTTTGAAAACTGTAAATTCCCAATATTCTGGGTGTATGGATGCAGAAAATACGTTTTTCACAGTTTAAAAACTGCTTAGATGCAAAAATTGAATATTATTTTAATTTCTTCATTTTCTATTCATTTTAAAAGTAAAAGTAACTTTTATGATTTTCTTGTGCTGTAATGTGAAGGGAAGAAAGAAATCTGAAGAGGCTTTAAAGAAATAAAACAACGAAAACAACCTGATCTGCACACCAATCTCAAAATTTGAGATTTTCCATCATGACGATGATTTCTGAGGCTAAAAAGAAGTCAAACTTTATCCTGTGATCTCTGTAAGCAGAGGACTAATGCAGTAACATCTCCAGATTTAATTACCAGCCTAAAAAAAAAACAGAGATCCGGACTTAAAGGGTAAAATCAGTAATAAAAGGATGATATCCTGTCAAGAACAGACAGAAACTTGCCTGTGAGGCAGGGCAGCAATTCTCTAACAATACAGCTTCAGGTAGCTTTAATAAGTTGGCAGGAAACTAACTCATGAGGTTGCCCTTCAGGCTTTGCATTTTCTCTGCATCACAGGTATCAAGTCGTTCCAAGCCGTCATGAAGCATTTTATTTAACTATGTACTACTTGTTATACATTCTGTGACCTATTTAGCTGTAAGTCTTTAAAAAGCTTAGAACGGTCTGTTCCGTTGTTTCAAGCATAAACTTGTTCTACTTTTATGAAAATCTGAACATTTTCCGGGGCACAGAGAGAGAACAAGGCATCGGATTTAAAATCTTTTAGCTGAACACTTCAGAAATGTAAAGGTGATCAGTTTTAGGATGTTACATTTCAAGGAGGAAACTAAATATTTGTTCCCCCTTTTTGGTTCCCTTTTGTCAGACTGGCACCGTTACACTTTCAGATGAATTTTCTCTTAAGCTCTGGCCCATCTTCAAGGAGGATGGGCTGGTTATAAGCAATAAGGTAGGGATTAGATTTTAAAAAGCTCCGGTATGAAAACTAAAACCCTTCTTTGTTCCTGCAGGTTTTTTAAATAGATGCAGGGAAAGTGCTGCAGTGATTGTAGATACATGGAGAATAGGTTATTAATTACTGAGCTTACCACACTGCTAAACAGCTTACTATATATAAAAAAAGCCTGCTTCAATTTTAATTTAGAAAATTTGGGCAATATTTTCTGGTTGTAAACAGAGACAGCTGATTATCAACCTGTTTGATGTGAGCTCCTCTGCACAAAACAAAACGGCGCCAATAGGTAGTTGAAAATTGGACTAATTTACCTACTTAAACATACATCATTAAAAGACCAATACCGGAATGTTGGAGAGCATTAGAGCTGTAATAATTGATAATTGATTGTATAAACAGGGGAAAATAATGTTGATTACATGTATTAAATGATCTGCTTGGAAATATGGTATATTCAATGTTTTTTGTTCACATCAACCAAATGCCTGGCTTTTGGTATAAATAAAAAAAAAAATAATAATCATTGCTTCATCTGCTTAATTTTGAACACGCCCAGCTGAACCTGGTTACTTTGTCCATGAAAAAAAAAGATGAATCTCACGGTAAAACTGCTCTGAAAAACAACTTGAACTGTTTTTTTTTTTTTTTTCCAAGATGTATGAATCATATTCAGATAAAGATATGAGTAAAAAATAAATAAAGCCAGAGTCCAAAAGTCGAGCTTCACCCTGCAGCACTACACATTCCAACATCTTAAGACCATTTAACCAGCCTTTAATCCGTCGTTTCATCAAGCAAACAAACCTGAACGCCATGTTTGACAAAGAATTTAACTTCCAACCACTTTAATTTCACTTTCAGCTCCTTTTAAAACAAATGCTTGAAACCAGTTTTATGATGACAAGCAAAGTGTTTCAGTTTGTCTCTTTTTCTAGAAAATCTTTCCAGACCAATGGACTCATTTAGGACAGATGAAATTGGATCAAAACTGCTCCTATAGAAAGGAAAAATACATCAGCAGTTCTTTCTCTATCATGGTATAAACATTAAAAAGGGAAAAACAACAACAACAAAAAAAAAAGCTCTGTCTCTCTGGTCTTATCAGCTGTTGGCTTCAGAACACCCGGCTTTATGATTCCTGCTTTGAGGCCGGGCAGCAAACCTGTTGTTCCGGTTAGAGCCATCAGCACCCCGCCCCAAACAACTAGCCGGGAACGACAAAGAAAAACAAAAACGGGCTGTGTCAAGAAAAAGACGGAACTTTTTCTCCAAACTACAGACATCATTTGAATGACTGGTTACAGAAACTGCTGCAACTATGATTCAATAACCATTTCCCCCAAAAAATCAGTCACTGAAAATGTTAACTGCTAGATCACAACTGCAGAGAGAGTAATATTTAAACTTACAGCTCTCACAGTTGGATGTATTGTCGATTAAATACAAACTGAAGTGTGTAACATTTAACTTTAAGTTAAAACAGTCAGACAACCACAGCATTTTTACAACACTTCATTCTGTGTATCATATGAGAGTTAAGCTTAGTTTGACCACCAGCATCCTGCTGCTAACTTTTTCTTTACCTCCTCATAAGGGTCATAAACCCCACAGCTTCCTGTTGAAAAAACGGATGTTGTTCTAATCTAATCTCACCGTCCCTGTCTGCATACCTCTAGAGAGTTCCAAATGAAGAGGATGATTTCACAATACTTTAAAGAAACAGAAATGCATATCTCAAAAGTAAAGGCTTACATTGTATGTTTGAGTGGTTTAAATACACAGATTATGCATTTTGTCAGAAAAATTTCTGTCCCACGACTGACTTTATATATCAGGATTAGAACTGTGGAGCTATAGCAGCTTGGTTACCCCGTTCATCTGCACCAACATGTCCAGCCATCATGGCAGGGAGAGAGCACATAGTGTCTGTGTCTCACAAATGAACCTGATTTAGAGTAAAGTGTGCTTATCGACCGCATAGCTAACCCAAAAGGCTATAACCAAGGGTGAAAACCTCAAAAACCCCATGGCCTGAAAGGCCGCTCAGCTAGGAAGAAGAAATGACTCAAATACCAAAAAAACACAGATTAGGGTTTGAAGAGACGTTACTTTTTGGACGTCGTTTCATTAGACGGGGTCTAAAAAGCCCTTTCGCCTCTTTAGATAAAGCGCTATATGAATACAGAGCACTTACTACTCATAAGCACATGAACTGATGACATTTAAGTCCCCATTTTATAAGAATTTATATAAGGAAAATAAGAAAAATAAGGGACATTATATAATTTAACTAATGAATGAATAGAATAGCATAGAGGTCAGACCTTACGTTTCTGCTCTTGATCTACAGAGATAGATGTCAGTCATGATGTCAATAGATAAATAGTCACTAGATAGTCAATAGACTTAATTTCAAAAAGCAACAAAAACATTTCTTAAGATCTATCCGAGGGAACATGTCTAACAAGGAGACTGAACTCTAGCTTCATATCAAAGATGAAACAAGCCCATTAAATATTTGCATCAGAAGTTTTGAATTTTTGAGAGGAGACACGCATCAAGAAACTACTGATCATTCTCTCCCGATTTTAAAATTTGAAGCCTTGAAGGCTTTGTAGCTGAGATAATGATACGTCTCTGCCTGACAGTTTCACCTGAGCTGGAAAACGTTGGAAACAGCATTCATTTTTAAACTGGTTCAACTGGCAGAGGCCTTTCAACAACAAGCTAGTCTTGCATGTTTCTCTTCTTATTATAATCAAAGTGCTGTTTACAAACCAAACTGACGGAAACAAACCGGCCACCTCAGGTAAATGTTATTAAAACTGCTCCATTTGCATCTATTTCTATCAATACAAATATCACCCAAAGCTATATAAGCAAATGACAGACAACCAAGGGAAAATTACAGACCAATTGGTTTTTTTATCTTCTTAAATTGTTCTATGCAAAACTATTGAGGCCATCTGCTCAAGCTGAACTTGCCTCATCTTGTTTCATTGCGAACACGCCTTTTTTGTGCCATTAAAACTCCCTGGTGCATGTTTTTATCTGCCTGCTGGTGGGAATGATTGACTGGAACATGTTGCTGTGTCATGACTCCTTTGCACCATTGCTGATACAATAATGAAGTTAGTGGCAAGGTCACATGAACCACCTCTGGAGGGAAAATATGGTGAGACCAGGGAGAGAGTTTTAACGTTTACCCACATGAGTTCGCTCAGCAGCACTGAAGACTTTAGTTACATTCCAAAGAGCACAATAAAACTTTATCTTGTTTGCATGGAAACGATCCGCCCCCATCCTCAGAAGATGCTTTGAATATTTGCAAACTTAATCCCAAAGTGACTAAGTGGTCTTGCTGTTGTGTGCGTCCTGTTGCAATGAGGGTACACCTGCTGATCACTTCCTTTCCAGCACATACAGAGGATAACAGCTTCCCCCTGCCAATAGATCTATCCTAATAGGGCATTTTCTTGTATGTTTGTATTACCGATAATTGTCACTGTTCAGGCCACCGGTTCACTAAGACTTTATTAAAAAAAGCAGCACGATCAAATGCTTGAGTAACTCGATGAAAACAAAACACATAATTCTGTCTTTCGTTTCTGTCTGAATACCGGTTCCTGCTCTTTCTTTAGCAAACAAAGCAAGCAAACTGCAATAACTGTGAAAGGGTTTTACTAATGCAACTAGGAATAAATGATAATGCTTCACACGTGTCAGTACAGGACAAAAACACAAAAAAAATAAAATAATGCTTTGAATCATCTAAGCCTCCCACCTGCAGTTATGAGCAGAGCGTCCCTTAAGGGGGATAAGCTTCATGTAATAATTCGTCCACTTACCCGGAACAGCCGTGAATCCCATAAATCAGTAACCCTACCCCTTTGCTTTTGCAGGGTAGAGTAAGAATCCAACAATGAAGACACAATTTGGGTCTCAAAGAGCTGATTGGGCTATTTTTTTCTACAACTTAAAACCTTTTTTTTGGAAAAGTTTAAGAAAATGCAGGTAGGGAAAAACAACTGAAAGTGGGCATCTTTAGATACAAGCGCTAAGAATTTTCTAAATGTGATGCATATAAGAGCTGAGTTGTTCAAGCCTACTTTCCAGAAAGAAAAAAAAGACTCGCTACTCATCAACAGTCCTTCTTTGTGGTTTCTGCTAAATTAAAATAGAATCCCTGTGACTGAGAACTTCTATCTTTATACAGTTTGAAAAGCCTCCGCCTGTGGATAATTATTGTCATGGTAGTAGTTGGTATAAGGGCTCTGCTTTTCAGTATGGTTGCACTGAATTCAAATAGAGACAAATCCTAATGCTTCTCCTAATGATTTGAGACAGAAGTAAAGATATCAAGCTGATATTTTAATAAAACATGTGACAAATCCACACTAGCCATAACTCCTTACAGTTCAGATGTCCCCTCCATAATCCAAGTGAAGAATTGTGAGAATACTTTTAAATTCTACTAAATATATCATTCTCCGTCTTCCCACATTACCGGTTAGGTATTATTTACGTCAGCAGGACTGGATGACTAGTTTTTGCGCCAAATCCATTTTTTCTGAATGGTATTAGGAAGTACTAAAAACAATCTGTCTGTTGTGACAGTTTCATCAAGCCGTTTATTTACAGATGAACTAAATTGACTGTGCAATTACACACCCTTTATAAGGGTATTGGTTTGTATTAAATGAGGGTTTAGCTGTAGGTGTGCTGGTCATTTCACCAACTATACAACTTTGTATTTGATATTGCAACAATGGCAATGCATCCACTCCTCTGTGATGATGACACACATATAAAAAGAAGGAAAAAAAGCTGCAAAAAGATCAGTTTTACATTTTAGATTAGAAATACCATGGGTGACAATTCAGTCCTTTACCATTATTTCAATTCATTAATATCAGCAAAGTTATAAAAATAAAAGCTTTTTTTTTTTTTTATTGGTCCAATTATTATTATCTCTTTTTTATGTTGTGCTTTATCTTGGCAGAATAAAAAGCTGGTATAACTGATTAACTAGTCCGGCTATCTGCTAAGGTGGTCAGTCTGTAGCCTGGATTTAAATTCTGCTGGTGTTCTGCCTCACATAGGTTTAAAATGACCATCTGCATTCCTTTATGAACACTTATATATATAATAACAGACCCATTACTCTCTTTGTGTAAAGTAGAGAAAAACGTAGCAGCCTTCTTTAGGCCAGTTGATCGGCAGTGAGCTGGGAGGGACAGTACTCCATTACTGGATGGAACCACTGTTTTGAAACAGTGGTACCTGTAACAATCCAATGCCTAACATACACAATGGATTCAACTGACTGCTTAAATTACAAAGAAAAAAAAGCTAAACAATCCTTTCTGCTTTCTACGGAAGAGGATTAGGGCCACTGAAGAAAAAAAAAGTTTACTGATTTTTAAATTTTATTTCAGTATAATATGACAAAAACGACTTTAATCTCAGAATTCTGACTGTTTTCTGACAGCTAACAAACATGTAAGCATCAAACTGTAGCCATGTCTTTTTTAGAGACAAGCTCTCTTGTGTTAATCACCTGCTGCCCTTCCATTAAAGAAATAGCATCACAGGGGATCCTTCGGCCATGTAAAAAGTTGCCCAATTCCTATATTTACCCCCAATGTGTTACTGGCCCGCCCAAACAACTCACATGTTTGTCAGTGAAGCTGAGTGCTCCCACATCTCTTCCTTCATGGTGAACATCTACATTTAGATCCAACATTCTGACATTAAAGTCAGAATTCTGAGATTAGAGTCAAAATTCTGAGATTAAAGTCAAAATTCTGAGATTAGAGTCAGAATTTTGCTGATTAAAATAAGGATTCTGAGAAAAAGGTCAGAAATCTCAGATTAAAGTCAGAATTCTGATGATTAAAGTCAGAATCCTGAGAATTAAAGTCAGAATTCTGAGAATTAAAGTCAGAATCCTGAGAATTAAAGTCAGAATTCTGAGAATTCAAGTTAGGATTGTGATGATTAACGTTAGGATTCTGAGAAAAAGGGTAGAATTCTGATGATTAAAGTCAGAATTCTGATGATTAAAGTCAGAATTTTGATGATTAAAGTCAGAATTCTGATGATTAAAGTCAGAATTTTGATGATTAAAGTCAGAATTCTGATGATTAAAGTCAGAATTCTGATGATTAAAGTTAGGATTCTCATATTAAAGTCAGAATTATGTAGCCTGGGTGCCAGTCCGAACTTAGTCCCGCCCACAAGGTTTGAGTTCGGGGAAGTTCGGTCTGGCTCTGCTTCATAGTAGCGCGAGTATTAAAGCCCACTGTCAGGCGATCCAAACAAATTGTCAGGGCGGGCTTTATACGATGATGGACAGATGACAAACAGTAACGTAATCAACCACGTGACCAAAGCGCGCTTGGGTGACAACAATAATGGCTGCCGCTGGAGAGTTTGGGTGAGTAAATTCTGCTATTAGGTCTGTTCTAGAAGATATCGACAGCAAATTAATTTTAAAAGAGGAACAGAGAAACGCGATCAAGTCTCATCTTCTTATTCTAGGCGTGAAACTGCACGCTTTGATTTTTGTGGACAACAACTATGCCTCGCTTAAGATACGTCACGCACTCCGTTGCTCTTATTGGTTGTAGGTCTATCCAATTGAGTGCAGAGGCATTTTTTTCCTGGTTCGTTCAAAACACGCCCCATAATCACAGCTCTATGGAGCAGTATCAGACTCATATTCTGATTAGAATTGAGTCGGACTACGTCAGGCTAAGAATTATAAGATCAAAGTCAGAATTCTAAGATTAAAGTCAGGATTCTGAGAAAAAATGTAAGATCTGAGAAAAAAAAGGTAAGATTCGGAGAGAAAAAAAAAGGTAAGATTCGGAGAAAAAAAGGTAAGATTCTGAGAAAAAACTCAGGATTCTGAAAAAAAGGTACGATTCTGAGAAAAAAAAGGCAAGATTCTGAGAAAAAAAGGCAAGATTCTGAGAAAAAAAGGTAAGATTCTGAGAAAAAAAGGTAAGATTCTGAGAAAAAAAGGTAAGATTCTGAGAAAAAACTCAGGATTCTGAAAAAAAGGTAAGATTCTGAGAAAAAAAAGGCAAGATTCTGAGAAAAAAAAGGCAAGATTCTGAGAAAAAAAGGTAAGATTCTGAGAAAAAAAAGGTAAGATTCTGAGATAAAAAAGGTAAGATTCTGAGATAAAAAAGGTAAGATTCTGAGAAAAAAAAGGTAAGATTCTGAGAAAAAAAAGGTAAGATTCTGAGGAAAAAAAAGGTAAGATTCTGAGAAAAAGGTCAGGATTCTGGAAAAAAAAAAAGTCAGGATTCTGAGATTAAAGTCAGGATTCTGAGATTAAAGTCAGGATTCTGAGATTAAAGTCAGACTTCTTATTTATTCCTATATTAAACTGAAATAAAAATTCAAAAATCAGTCAACTTTTTCTATTTTTTCAGTGTCCCTAATCCTCTTTGATAGCTTTCAACCATGCTGCACATAATAAACCTTCCCCTTTAAGATGTTTAGATCACAATAGGTCAAGTGTCCCTGTCATTTATATATTAATTAAACAGGAAGTTAGGATTGTACTGACAGTATGACACATCTCATAAAAATGTTTATCTCCTTATATTTCCAGTTAACCTGTGAGCGTCTTGTTGATCTTGCGTAATTAATGTCCCAGAGTCCCACCGCAGTCTCGCGGGATGTCCTGTCCCCCCAGAACACAATTCCGTGCATCATTACACACTTTAGGACACATAACTGAACAGAAAAACGCTTTTTATTTCTTTCCCACAGCTTTAAAGCTGTAATCTAAAGGGACAGACGCTTTCTGCTTACCTTGGGTAAGTCTCGGAGTTGGTTGGCGTCCAGCAGCAGCTCCTCCAAACTCCGAGCGTAGCGATAAATCTCGTCGGGAACATAAACCAGAGAGCAGTGGCGTTTATCGATCATCTCGACGTGACGGTTGCACCGCCACAGGGGGATGCAGTGAAACATCGCGGAGGGGGAAGGAGAAGGGGATCAAATCCCGTATCCGTGCGATAAACAAACTGCAGGGAGGAAAGGAGGGAGGGGGGATGGATGCAACAGTTTGCTACGGTGGGAGAGCTCGATTCTCCACCGAGAGACCAGGCGAAACTCACCGAGAATAAACACCGAAACTCCGGCGGTAAATGAGCTAGCTGGTCGCCACTATCCGGAGCTCCAGCTCTGTGCTTGGCTCACTTTGTTAGTTCGTAGTTTGGCACCTGTGTTTCCTTCTCCTGGAGCTCCAATGCTTTAAAAAAATCACTTTCTGTGTAAAAACAGCAGCTTACATCTCTGTGTAGCAGAGAGCGACATTCTGTGAGGATGTTGTTTCTTTTTTCCGTTTTGTCCTGGAGTTTATTTCCTCTCCCGTCCAGTTTCTGACCCGGAACATTCACTCCCTCATTCCTATCCTGCGTCATCGCTGAGCTGCTCCTCCTCCCTCCGGTCCCTCCTCTGGATAGACCCGTCCCGCACAGGACCGCCGCCATGATGGCCCCCTGTCTGAGGGAGCCCTGTTTATTAGCGGCTGTCTGGGTGTTATTGGGTTATTTTTAACAATACAGAGCATTACTTATTTGTTTACTCTCAGTGAAAGACTTTATATATCTAAATTAAGTCATTTTCTCTTAAAATAAGTGATTTTTTTTTTCTTGAATTGAGCAGCTAAAAAATTTACATGTAAAATAAGGAAAAAAGTTCAGTCTCCTATTTTAAGTGCATAATATCAAATAATCAAATTTTTAAGGATAAAAATGGGAGATTTTCTTATTTGCCTACTCAAATTAGGGGTAAATTCACCTATTTTAAGACATTTCCATAAATGTTTAGAACATTTTTGTGATGTGTTATTGGAATCCAGGACCAGACCTTATTATCTTTGTAACATTAAAAAAATATGGATATTTTGATGGAAAAAATGTATTTCAATGTAATAAGAAACGCCAACTTGCCTGAATATACTCAGAAAAATAAGTGTTTCTGTATGAAATTCATGAAAAACTGTGAAACCTTTTTTTTTTTTTTTTTTGGTACAACATAACCTTAGAGGCTTATTAACTCTTTAGCTTTACTTTCTAACTTTTCAATTAGCTTTTTACCTTTTCTTGACTTTTATTTTTTCAACTTAATTTACAGTAGGTAATATATCATTCAAAGGCTCATCTAATTGGCCAAATGCCAAAATAAAATGTATGGCCATGTAGCAGTATCTTTACTGAATGACTGGATATAGATCTTGTGCTTCTAGACCTGAGAGACTGTTCTGTTTCTTATTCAGAAAGTCTTTTTAAAGTATTTGAATCACTTTATGAAATACTTGTCTAATGCCTTTTCAGTGTTTTTTTTTTATCAAATCTATCAATAGATATTAATTTAGGATCAGACACTTCAAGATTTTTTTTAATCAATAGCCGCTGCATTTTAATAAATATTTTTCCTTAATTTTTTTTGTCTCGTGGCACCTCAGGCACACTTCTGAAATATCCAACAATGAAAAGGAACTTCATGTCAACAGTGGAAAGAACAGATTTAACATCATAAATTATCTAAGTCATATGCAGCCCTGCTGCTGCAAAAAGCACAAGTTGTTATAATCTTTCTTTTGTGGGTATAAAATAAAACTAAAATATACTTTTACATATTTCTGTTTGAACAAAAGTCATTCCAGGTCACTCCCAGATGAGGCTGCTCCAGCTTCCTTACCGTGTCCTCCTTGTTCAAATCTCCTCCAGCATCAGTAAATCATGCAGCAGACATTCCTAGACTCCATGACACCCACTCGATATCTTTAAATTAATCTTATGAGTGTTTCTAGGTCAAAGGTCGACCTACTGTAGGTTCCATCTATAAGTAATCAGAAGCTCTAGAGGAGTCTCTGCTGCATGATTTAGTGCACATCATCACAATTCATGCTTATGTGAGGTTCAATTAATTTGTTTTTCTACACTGAAAACTTATACCCATTCACTTTAGCGTGATTCCAAAATTGTGTTTCCATGCATGAAAAGGATAATTTTGTAGCCCTTTATCAGCAGGCCTTCAGAAATCACATGTAAATTACCAACTTCTACCTTTTGATATAAAGTCTCAATGTTTCAGTAAAATGACATCAACTCAGAATATTGCATTTAATCAGCAGATGTTTGGCTTTAGAAAACTAGTTGTTCTTCCACTTTGCATGGCACTGAGAAATCCATGATCAATTCAAAGGGGCTTCCTCTAGAGGGAGCCACATCCCATTTAATTGACCTTGCTGACCGACCTTGTCTGAGTTTGAAACACCAAGACAAAACACTGAACTGATTCCTTTTTCAGATTTCATTCTTATTTAATAACGTTTAGAGCAAACAGAAAAGATTGGCCACAGCCTTGACTTCAGTATCTAATACTAAAGACACCCAATGAAGTTGAAGTTACTGATAAGGTTTGTTCCACATCTGCAAACTTTAAATATGATCATCATCTACGTCCCAGTTGTTTCTTAAACGCCTTCAAAGACTTTGCCATCATTGGAGCCACCTCTGCAAAAACATCAAAAACAAGACATTACCGAGCAGGAACTTTGCATAATTTAAAGTTACTTTAACTGCATAATGAAATGAAAAAAATAAAGGGATAAACACTTGTTTTTTTGCGAGGATCTTGGTTGTTGTTTCCAGTGGAAATGCTGCTACTGCTGTTGGAACTGTTGAACTCATTGCAACTTGATCTCATGGGGTTCTCCTGGTGTTTAACACTGGAAACATGCAAATATATATACACATGTAAAATGAAAATTGAACTCTGCATTATTATAGAAATATATGACATTAAAATAAAAACAAAGATGTTATTAGACAAACATGTTATGAGCCTTCCAAGCTGATGTTCAAATTATCACTTTATGCTTTTATATTGAACACCAAAGTGTCTGTGTTGTTTTCAAAAATAAGCACATTATTGGATCAGAAAACTTCTAGTCTCTGGTCTTCAACACTAGACTGAATTATACGAAGACATCCAACATCTAGAAGATGTAAATGAAACAAAAACATTCTTTTAAAAACATCTAGATTCCAGTATGGACGTGGCATCTACCTGCACTTGGGCTGATGCGGCTGCTGCACAGCAGTTCCATGAATTTCCTGCTGAATTCGCACATCCCTTGGTGGCTTAGCAACGGTGTGAATAAATGCCATCTTCACCTGTCGTCCTACAAGGGGTAAAAACAATGCATGTAAAGCTTTAACTGAAATAATTCTGAGTTGTTTTATAGGATAGATGGTTTAGGGATTACCATCATCATCATTACTTATAGATCTGGAGGATTTAGGAAAATATTGATTTAGTTTTTTCTCCAACTATAAAGCAACCAAGACGGTGGTTAAAAGGCCTAAAATGAGGGACAAATTTGCCCTGTTAGAATGCGTTTGTTTTTTATGCCATTCCTGGTACCAACATTATCACTCAATTATAAGAATGTCCAGGGGGGAATCAATGTCTTCTTCCATTGTAGAGATATTGATATGACTTGGCGTTGAGGCCTATAATTCACTCTAAGGAATCCTTCAAAATGAAAGAACATGCCATGCAAACCATGTCAGGCAAATGTGTCTCAGAAGAAGGTTTCAAGTACACCTGCATATATCTGGCCTGAGAGTAATATTAAGGTTTACTAAAAAGAAATATACCAAGACTAAAGGAGGACTGCAGTGCATTTTGTAAAAATGCAGAGCAGGTGGATCTGAAAGGAAGTAAAAATGAAAATATATGTTAAAGAACACGGCAACATTTTCTTAGTGTGAGAGATCATCTTAGAATCATCTCAGAGTATAAAAGTTTTATGTTTTTAACCTCTGTCTACACAAAACTATGTTAAGAAACTGGTTTTTAGGGCTTTTATCTTTAAATGTCCTCCATCTTCCTCTTCTTACAGTTGAAAAATTTACATTTTAAAGTTAGCATTTGGTGCCTGTGTGAATTGAATATCTGACAATAATTAAAAAGAACATGCTACCATTACAGTTTAATAATGCCCACAAACAAGCCTGTCTTTCTCAAGAGATGATTTTCATGAAACGTTAAATATTTCCCGTAGTTGGTAATGATTTAGAGCAAAGTGTACTTTTTCTTGACTAAAAAAAACACAAGCTCTTAAAGAGAGTTCTGCTACTTGAATCTAGCTTAGGAGCTAAGATTTTAATGTCAATATTCAGAAATTGAGTAGATGCAGATTTTTTTTAAATGCAAGAGAAAAATATATCTGTTAAAATATTTTGTGAGCAATGGAAAAAGGGCTATACATATATGCACCTGGGATAGATGACACTAAAGCCTCATCATAACTTAATTCCTACATTAAATTAAATCGAATTAATCTTTAGGGGGGTACGTGTCATGGATTTTAACCTCCTCCTTCAGAAAGTGGCAGTGCTGTTTTCAGAGCAGAGAACTCACCCTTCGGCTTCTTAGAATGTGCAGAGACGATCGTTTTTGTCAGCTTTTTGAGCTTTCTTTCCCTCTCCTCAGACAATCTGATATACATCTCTTTCCATGACTCGTATTCCTGAAGTTTGCAGTCTTTAAAATCTCTCTGACAGTGTTTTCCCCACAGATGGTCTGTCACTCCGATGTAGATCTGTAAAAGAAAGGAAACTCAAATCGCAAAAACATTTGTGAACTGTATATGGTGAAAGCTTGTATCATAAAGGAATTCTTAGGATAAAGGTAACTCCCTAAGTAAGAATTAAAAGGAAACCCAAAATGTTGAGAAAAGGGATAGGCAAGCTGAATCACCTATAGTTACATTTTTTCTACATAAAGGCAGTGGAAGAATGAATGCAGGAAGATTTGTGAGGGCAGATGATTATCTCAGAAAAAGCAACAGTGCAATGATTTAAAAAAACGTAGACATATGGTATGTAGTGATTGCTTATCTGGGGACAGACGGATACGAAAGACAGACTGAAGCACAGCAGAACTTCCGTATCAGGAAAACAAGTTGGATAAGAGTAACGCATGTGGGCAGTAAGTGGGTACAATAGTAACGTGCAAAAGAAAGTGTGGGCAAATTAAAAACCCTACTACCAAAAGCTCATGGAAGCCAGTAAAATAATCCATTATGACTGATGAATTAAAATGTAATCAGCAACACTGCTTGTGAGGTTATTGAAAAAAGACAAGTTCCCCTGCACCTGAATTATGCAGTATTAAAATTTATCCAACTAGGAAAATCAGAACAGACTTCAGACTGTTCTGTTCGTTTTAAAATTTGATGCCGTGATCTGTTCCAGATTTGCTGTTCCCCTCTCAGTGGCCTGAGTTATATTGCTCAAGTGTGACACCTAGTGGTCATCCAAGTCCATTACACTATCCTGAAGTATGATACAGCGTAAGGTTAGAATAAAAGGCAAGAAAGGAGAAAAAAAAAGCTATTGTA